TGGAATCACGTCAATCGGATATCGGACGGAGAAACGACGCACTTTGGAATTTGGTCTGGAGGGGCTGTCATGACAGCATTAAATTGCTGTCATGACAGCTACAGTGTTGATGTTGTAACCTGCATAAAATTCAATCCGTCCGTTGGATCTTTTCAAAATTTAGTATGCTAAGAGTATTCTTTAAAAGTGACATGTGGGCTTTGGAATCACTCCGATCGGAGATCAGATGATGAAATGGTGCACTCCGGAAGTTGGTCCGGAAGTGCTGTCATGACAGCTAAAAAAAATAACCAATTTTTTAACATGTCTAATTTTCAATCCAACCGTTGGATCTTTTTGAAATTTGGTATACTTATAGTACCCTTTGAATATGACGTGTGAGCTTTAAAATCACTTCAATCGGAGGTCGAATGACGAAACGGTGCCTCCCGGAAGTTGGCCCAGGTGGGCTGTCATGACAGCAATTTAATGCTATCATGATAGCATCTTTTTATTTTACTTTCATCTAGCTTGCTTCCGCGTGCTATAGGTAGAACCTATAAATTTTTTTTTAAAGGCTTTAAATGGTTTGTTTCCTAAGTTGGTTTTAGGATTAATTCCTTAACCACACTTAGTTTATTTGAATTGTGTGATTTTTGGATAACATTCGAGGCAAGTGTTACACACTATGTGTTAGCTAGATTCCACAGTCAGTCTCTGTCTTCTTGGCACAAAGAGGTAATTTTCTTCAAGCCTTAAAAACGTCGAGGGTTAAAACAGTGTGGATCGTAGATTCTGGCGCATCGGATCACATGACCGACAACCACCAATTATTTTCTACATATACTCCATGTGCTGGAAATTTGAAGGTCAAAATTGTAGATGGGTCTCTTGCTCCTATTGCGGGGAAAGGGAGTATTCGTATCTCTGAATCTATCACTCTAGAATCTGTTCTTCACGTACCAAAATTAGCATGCAATTTGTTATCTGTGAGCCAACTAACAAAGCAATCTAAATGTTGTGCTAATTTTCTTCCAACCCATTATGTCTTTCAGGATCTATCATTGGGTATGACAATTGGACGTGCTAAAAAGTTCGAGGGGCTCTACTTCCTTGAGAATGCTAGAGTGAGTCACCATCAAGCCACTAATGTATGTAACTCTATATCGACTTCTAAAGATACAAATATTCTGTTATGGCACAAGAGGATGGGGCATCCTAATTTTCATTATTTATCTCGTTTGTTCCCAAACCTTTGCCCTACCAACCATGATGTCAAATGTGAAGTGTGTGAACTGGCAAAGCACTAACGAACATCATTTCCTAGAACACCATATACATCCACCAAACCATTTGCTACCATACATAGTGATTTATGAGGTCCATCTCGTATCCCAAACCGCACCAAATCAAAATGGTTCATTACCTTCATCAATGATCATACTTGTGTTTGCTAGGTGTATCTCCTAAAAGACAAGTCTAAGACTGCATCCGTATTTATCAATTTCTTTACCATGATTAAAACCCAATTCAACACAAATATCCAAGTTCTACATACCGACAATGGTACTGAATATTTTAACCAAGTCTTGAGTACCTTTCTTCACAAGCATGGCATTGTCCATCGATGCACTTGTGCCCATACACCCCAACAAAACGGGATTGCAGAAAGAAAAAAATAGACATATTCTTGAAGTGGCTATCTAAAGCCCTCATGTTCACCAATAATGTCCCAAAGTTTTATTGGGGGGATGCCATCTTAACTGCAACCTATCTCACCAATCAAATGCCCAGTCGTATTTTGTCTTTCAATACTCCTCTTCATAAATTGCAAAGTGTTTTCTCCACATCTCATATTGAAACCAACATCCCTCTTCGTGTCTTTGGGTGCACAACCTTTGTTCACATCCATCAATCTAGTAAACTTGAACCTCGTGCTACAAAATGCATATTTCTTGGTTATTCCCCTACTCAAAAAGGGTACAAATGTTTCAATCCCATTTCCAAACACACGTTTGTAAGCCTTAACAGCTTTTCATTAAGATATGCCATTTTACCCCAATTCTTCAATTTAGGGGGAGAGTATAGGTGAATCTCAGACTTGGGAACAAGAGATTAACAAAGAACATGTGCTTCCGTATTCTTGGTCCATACTAGCAGAGTCATTACCACCTCAATTACCAGAACCATCACTCTCATCCGAACCCTTACCACTATCACCATCTCTTGTGCCAGTCACAGAAGATAATTCAACATCAAGAGGAGATATAGAGAGGCAAAAAGAAGACAAAGACTTGTTGGTTTATTCTCGAAAGCATAAATCTAAGGAAGGAGAGTAACTTGTATTTGAAGCACCAAAGGAGTCAGAACTAATGGTAGCTCCTGAATCACCTCAGCAAAGTCCTGAACAAGTGAGTATTCAATCTGATCTTGATTTACCCATTGCTCGTACAAAACAACCTCGCTCTTGTACCTTGCGCCCAATACAAAAGCACATATCCTACAAAGCTCTTTCTCCAAGTTATCATGCTTTTGTCACTAGTCTAGATAAAGTTGTTGTTCCCAACAATATTGAAGAGGCATTAGAAATACCAGAATGGAGAAATGCAGTCATGGAGGAAATGAAAGCCCTAAAGAAGAATGAAACATGGGAGATTATTCAGAGGCCAAGTGGCAAGAAGCTTGTAAGCTGTAAGTGGATTTTCACCCCAAAGTACAAGGCCGATGGAACTCTTGACAAGTTAAAAGCACGCTTGGTAGCAAGAGAGTTTATTCAGACATATGGTATCGACTATAAAGAGCTTTTGCACCAGTGGCAAAATTAAACACCATTAGAGTTCTCTTATCCGTAGCAGCTAATCTAGAATGGCCACTCCATCAACTTGACATCAAGAATGCTTTTCTAAATGGAGAACTAAAAGAAGAAGTTTACATGACTTTACCACCAGGATTTGATAGAGGCAGAGGTGATCAAGTATGCAGATTGAAGAAATCTCTATATGGCCTAAAGTAGTCTCCTAGGGCATGGTTTGACAGATTCTCAAAAGTCCTCAAGTGAGAAGGCTATAAGCAGGGATTGTCAAACTATACAATGTTTGTTAAAGTTGAGGGAGGTAAAAGGTGTATCCTTATTGTATATGTTGATGACATTATTCTTACAGGAGATTATCTTGAGGAAATCACAAGAGTAAAGGTTGTTCTGGGCAAAGAATTCGAGATAAAAGACCTTGGTGCCTTGAAATACTTCCTTAGGATGGAAGTTGCGAGGTCAAGGAAAGGTATTTATGTATCTCAGAGGAAGTATATACTTGATCTTCTGAAGGAAACAGGTATGTTAGGTTGTAGGCCAGCTGAAACCCCTATTGTGGTTCCGAATAAAAAGAAGCCTAAGAAGAATAAGGAAGAATCAAAAGAAAAAAATAAGTCTTATGATGAGGTTGAAGAAGAAGACAATGAGAATGAAGAGGCCACTAATAAAGAGAGATGTTAGAGGCTTGTTGGGAAGTTGATTTACCTCTCCCATACAAGACCAGATATTGCCTTTGTAGGAGCTAGCCAATACATGTCTGAACCGAAGAAGCAGCATATGGAAGCAGTCTATAGGATCTTGAGATATTTAAAGGGTACTGCTGGTAGAGGGTTATTCTTCCAGAAACAAGAACAGAGAACCATAGAGGTCTACATAGATGCAGATTGCGGAGGAACTCATCCTGATAGAAGATCAACTTCTGGTTATTGTTCCTTTGTTTGGGGGAACTTGGTTACCTGGAAGAGTCAAAAGCAAAGAGTTGTTTCTAAGAGTAGTGCTGAGTCCGAGTTAAGAGCTTTAGCTCAAGGAATAATGGAAGAGTTATAGCTGAAATGAATCCTAGAAGAGATACATGTCGAAGTGGACTCACCATTAAAACTTTATTGTGACAATAAGACAGTTATAAGTATGGCCTTAAATCCTGTTCAACATGAGAAATCAAAACATGTGAAGGTGGATAGACATTTCATCAGAGAAAAAGTAGAAGAAGAAATCATATGTTTGATTTATTTACCTACAAACCTTCAAGCTGCAGATGTTTTGACGAAGGAATTACATAAGCCCGCATTTGAAAGTTGCATAAGCAAGTTAGACATGATTAACATCTATGATCTAACTTGAGGGGGAATATGGAGATATTGTATTTATTGTAAATATTATTATCTGATTATTAGGAGTTAATAGGATTTATTAGAATTATTAGTATTTATTAGCCATTTATTTGCTTGTCTCCTAGCTTTGTGTATATATAGTCTTCTGTATTTTACTATTATGATCAATGGAAAATCATATTTCTCCTCTCAAAAATCCCACACTACTACCAAAAGGTGAGGAATGTACAGCACGATGTTAGCAATCAACATCATGCTTGTCACATCAACAAAAGCAATTACAAGGACAATCTGATGCAAAATTGAGCTCCATAGTGCTTCCTTTCTTGGTCATCTTTCTTGGTCATGCAAACTTACAGCTGCAGAAAATTTTATCTTGACAAATTTGTATACTTTACCTTGACAAATTTGCATACCTCAAATTTATATTTTATCTGAGACAATTTCTCCATTTCCAGGAAATGACCTGAAATATTATCCCAGAAGAATTTTCCTTCTAGTGTATATATGTTCCACGCTACCTCAGCAAGTTCCGACATATAAGGGCAAGTGAAAATGTGAAATGCCCCATCGTGGACATTAAAAAAAAAAAATTCATAATTACTGCAATGATCTAATTAGTTGCATAAATGAAGTCCATTTCAAAGCAACTGAAGATATTTGAAAAGAAAAATGAATGGGAAATTTGAACCAGAAAAAAAGAACATAAAAGGTTAGCCTAACTAAGAAAAAAGAAAATTATAAATCAAATTAACAGGTTGCATAAAAAATAAACAAGCACTAGCAGCTTTGCCATCTATGCCAAAAGCCAGGAATAGTTGATACAATATGATAATCCAGCAACAGAAATGCAATCAGAAGACAAAGATAGATGAACTTACTCGAATAAAAATTTCACATAGTTAATTACATAGCTTGTCAAAGGATGGACAGTTCCATCTGTCACAGCAGTTTTTGTAGCATCTTTCTCGACTGCTTCTTCAAAATCTCCAAACGTCTCTTGTGCAGTTTGTGCAAGCTGTTTTGTCAAACCCAACGCAGCTTCTCTGATCACAGTGCAAGCTTTGCTTTCAAACAGTGTTTCTATCTGCAAAACATCATGAGATTTTATAATAGACTATAACACTATTGCGATATGCTTCTTGCTGGTGCAATGACACATACCGCAGACTTCTTTGCCAAGCGAGCAACATCACTATTGCCATGGCAACTCTAGTTGTCAGAGATTATAATGAAAACTAAAGTTTTCTAAGGAGAATCAGAGATTCATATGAACTCTGTCTATCTTTGAAGGAAGAATGCTAATATAGGACAGTGGTTATAGAAGATCAATCCATCCAATTCAGTGTGATGGCTAAATGGCTCTCAACCCCTTCAGTCAGGATCAAAAAGATTTAAACACCTATGCACATGATTCCTTTAGCCATGAAAAAGCTCAATTTTTTTCTTTCATTTAGGAGTTAACAATAAGATTATTTTAAATAGTTAGTTTAGATAGTCCCATCAACTATAAATGTAGCATTACTTCTTTTTCAAAAAATAAGTTCAGAGGACTGTTAAATCATGAATTTCTTCAAAAACTATAGTATTTTTTTTAAAAAAACTTCCTTTATGATAGGATTAGCTAAGTGTCTGTCAAATGTAAAATAGAATATAACTTGGCAGACCAGATTATGTCAGAGGCCGCCTACAATCCATATGCAACAGTGTGGAGATAGCAAAATTCATGATGGATATCAAAGTCCATACCTCTGAACGAAGCTCGTGCATTATTTCATACATGTCCAAAAGTACAAATAATTTTTCTGGTGATCTCTTACTTTTGGCAATTGCTTCTCCAAAACTAAGCAGCATGGAGACACTGTTTTTAGTCACCTCAGCGAAACACTGATCAATGAGTAAATCAAATCCTTCAAATATTTGATTGCAAACTTTCCGCTCACCAGCAAATAACAATTTGACCTGATATGGTATAATCAGACATTTGAATGAAAATTTATTTCAAGAAAAAATATACAAATAATAATATATTTATTGTAAATAGTCAGTTTAAACAGGATAATACCAACTAACAGTTATTCATGGGATGATGAGCTGAATAGGATCTCATTATGGGAATTACATATCTGACTTGTAGCCTTAATGGTTTTCCTGATTCTTTGCCTGTACGAATTTTCGAGGTAGATATCAATAATATATATTATTTTTTTACCTCTATTCTAATACTTCTCTGCTTTTCGTTGATAAGCAACATGATATCAAAAAAATTATAAAAACAAACATCACTACCATAAGATTGGAGACCCGTAAAAAAATAAAGAAAACGGTTGGACCTGAGATATCTGAGGTTCAATAGCAAAAGCCTAGGAAAACAAATGAAAATTGTGACATGAGACCTTAAGACTCAAAAATCATAAGCCCTAGGCAAAGAGAGTTGGGCCCAAATGATCACTGAACTCAGAGGAAGGAAAGGAAAAAAAAAAAAAAGAGTTAACTAGGTCCAGTTACATTTGCCGTGGAGTCCTGGAGAAAAGCTTTGATAGAAGTCTAATGACATATAAACTTGTGGCAATCCTAACAGTTAACTAAGCTATTATGATAAAATGGACAAGCCCAGATACAAGCCCATACAGAACAATCAACATAAACACTGGAAAATCTGCTGCTTACAGCTATTCGCATGTAGTGAATCCAACTTCCAATTTTAGCCTCCAAAACCTCCCATTGTAGCTTTTGTACATCATCTTTGCTAAGCTTCTCAACTCCCAGTTTGTGTAGGCTCTCTTCCAATACATCAGACCTGGTATCCCTACTCAACAATAATCATGATCATGATAATTACTTAGTGTTATATCAATCATAATGGTAAGACTAAAATGCTAAAGAGAAGATATATGACAAGAGGTTCAAGATATTGTTTATGCAATACGACATGCATATTATTGTGTACACAATAAATGGCTCTAATGAGACCCAATCCAATAACACAGGAAAGAACAAGGGAAAATGACAGTAACAGCAATAAATATAAGGGAAAATGCTGAGGTTTTGATATTAATAAATAGAAAGAACTGAATCAGAGTTACAAGGACACTCTCTGATTCTAGCCAAAACCCTATCTCCCCTGTTGATACAAAATAACACCAGCAACACAAATCATAGACAGTAACATAAGAGTTTCACTCCCTCTGTCATTTCGAGAAGCTAGTCTCTCCTTACAATTCTATATTTCTCATACCCCCCCCCTCTCCCACAAAAAGACTATTAATACTTACAGCATGGCCTTCACTCTCCCATGCTACCCAAAAGATCCTAATCATAACACAAAATCAAAAGTCACTATTCCAAATGGCCAGGGACCAAAGGATCATTGTCTGGACCAGTCACAGTATTTCCACTTGAGTCATCTACCACCTTTGGCTTCCTCTTATATGTCTTAGGAAAATAACAGGCTCTATCATTATCCTTATTATTGTGTACACACATTCAGTGAAGTAATGATCCTTTTACTTCTTTAGGGTTTATTCTTTATATTGAAACTTGGGTATTGAGAAAAGAACAAGGCTGTGAAAACTGTAGTGAACGATATATTTTATTGAGTCACTAACCAATTATTTATTTAAATCCTCATAAAAACTAAACTGCTTTTGATCCAATGGAGTTGCAGTTGGCTTAAACTCTTCCACGTTGAGGACTTCCTTTGCTTTTTCTTTCTTCTTTTGGTCTGCAGTCATATAAATGCCTGTACCAAGTGCAGCCACTCAATTCCAACCATTGGTTAAATCTAATAGCACATATTTGACACTTGTCTCAATAAAAACAAAGAATTTAAAATCCAATCCTTCCATTTGAGTCATATTTCATGTTTCTTAGGTTTATCCTTCATCTTCCATGGAAGATCCTTCCTCTCTTCTTTTTTTGAAGATCACCCCCCCCCATCTAGCAGTCTTCCGTTATTTCCATTGAAACCCTTCAATTGAAGCCTCATTTTGGAGAAATTCTTGGTGAAAAAAGGACGAGATTTGCTGACTGCAGACAATCTAGATCCCAATAATCCCAATAAATTCTAGAAAATAAAATCATAATAATCACATAATCAAATCTCTGGCCTATATAATGAATACAGAAATTCTATTGGTTACAGAGATTTATAATATCTGACACTCCCTTCAAGCAAGTGTGTGGATGCCATTCCCAGATTGGTGGCTAAAATCTGAAAATGAGTACAAGACAGTCTCTTTAGGAAAATATCTGCAAACTGATTTCCAGTAGGGACAAAAGGCGTGCAAATTAAGCCGCTATTCAATTTCTCTTTCATAAAATGTTTATAACATCTGTGCTTTACTTGTCTTGCTGAACTGGAGTTTGAGTAATGTTGATAGCTAACTTTCACAATAAAGTTTCATTCAACCTCCCCTTTTGACCTTCAAATCTTCCAAGATTTCCTTTAAACATCATTTCCTTTAGACATACCAGTTCACAAATCCCAAATGACATGGCTCTAAACTCAGCTTCTATATTAGATCTAGCTGCCACATTCTGCTTACTACTTCTTCAAGTGATAAGATTCGTATAAAGAAAAACAATAGGAAGAATAGAATCAGTGTGCAAGCAAGTAGTACCGAAGTATTACCAAGAGGACCAAAAGCTACCTCAATACTTTAATGGACAAGTTCAAAAACAAGGATAGATTTAGTTGATTGGACTAGTACCGGTTGAGATGATTTCACTTTTTCACAAGAATGCACTTGTGATGGATGAATAGAGTATGAGGTTTTTGGATCCTAGTGAGGTACTTGAAGTCCTAGGAAACTCAATAAGGAAGGGGTCATTGCCCTGATTAACACTGAGAGAACTCTGCTTATCAAGAGGAGTATGGAAGTAAGATCAGCATTAAGAAAAGGTGACATCAGCTGAGCATTAGAACTTTCTGGAAAGAGGGTGATAACACTTGTACCCCTTCTGAGTGAAGGCGTAGCCAATGAACACACATTTAGTGGCTTGAGGATCAAGTTTGGTCTGATACTGAGAATGCAAAAGAACAAATGTAGCACACCCAAACATCCTAGAAATGAGAATAATAAAATTAAGTGATAACCTGCACAGGGCTTTTTGAACCTAGGAATTGGGTAGAAGTCAGTTAATGACATGTGTTGCTCTTCCCCCAGTAACATTGGGCGGTGCCAATAGGAGGGCACCAATCACTCCTAGATGGGTGGTAAAATCATTATCTCACTGGTGGGAGACAAAAGTTTACACAGACTCATTCTATCTCATACACTGAGAACCCTAACCAGATTTTGTTCCCCCTTCTTTTCAATTAGGCTCTAATGTCATGTGGAAAATGAAAGGAAAAACTGAATATATATTTCTTGCATGATTCTATAAGAAGAGAAGCCAAGTTATATGCAGAAGAACAAGAAAAAAGAAACAACCCCTGAAAAACCTCTAAATGCTTGGCAAAATATTTTCCCTATAAATGCTAGATTACCAGTGGCTAAAACAATAAACGAGGGGGATTAGTATTCACAATAAATTCTTAAACATTGAGGTTTCATTCTACCAAGTGTCAACATCCAGGGGGCTGGGCTTATACTTGTACTACCCCTGAGCATAACCGAATTTATGATTATAAATAAATATACAAGGTGCCTAAATAAGTGAATTCAACAATACTGAATGTAGTTTGTAATTGTATGGAATTGCTATATCTTATTCATCAATCAATAGAAAGTACATATAGGAAACAACAGAGGGTTCTACAGTATACAATCAAATCCTCCAAATCCCATGAATCCCTCCACTGAATCAGAAAGATAATAAAACAGAATAAAATGGGATGATATCCAATAAATGCAAGATTCCAAAAGTAAACAAATAATGTCCACTTCCGACAAATGTTGTTCACTCTTCCCTTTTATCCTTTCTTCCCTCAATTGTCTGCTAGCAATGTTAACTCTCATCAATCAAATTTGAGTTTTATCGGTCAAACATTTTGGCCTCTACAATCAAAGATATTAGACTTCCTACAGGGACACATGCCCAACTTACAAAGCAGCTTAGGAGAACAATACTTCCATTTCATGAACTAAAATTTTGTTTCTTTTGCTACTCCTTTTATTTCGATTTCCCATGGTACAATTCTCTTTCTGTCAACATTAAACGCATTCATCATGGATTCCGTTGACTTTAACATCAAAATGCAAAGCATGATGAGAGCAACAACACTGACAATTTTCCGTTAGTTAAAAAAATTCCGAAACAAGACTACATTAGAGATGAATGAAATTCAAAACCCAAAAAAAAAAAAAAAAAACTTGTCAAGCACAAACATGAAGAATTTACAAGTAATAATGGACAACAACAGGGTGACTCGCCTCTTTTATAACTTAATGTTCTTCAAATAATATCTTATATTTGCAACTTTCAAATGTAGAGTGCCACATAGGCATATACTTCCATTCTGTAATTCAAAGAGCTCACCGGTAAATTTTGAGTAACTTTTGCTGTTGACCAGCTTGAACCATTTGTTCCGTTAAATCATGGAGCAGTACCAAAATCCTTGGCGGTATAAGAGCAGGAGGTGTGTATACAAAAGCATCAATGTTATTGTTTTGTGAATCAGAATGATTATTGGAAGGATTCTTGCCAATAGAGTCCCCCTCATAGCCAGGAGAACCTGAGGAAGGACGCATCGTGTTTGGAAGGCAATCAAAGAGGCACTCAGGTTCCACAGGTTGGCTGTAATCACACAGAAGAAAAGATGAGCCACAGAACATCAGACAATAAAATTTACAGATAAAAAATCAACCATATTTTCTAATGTATAACTGAATATCAGAAATGCCTTGTAGGAATAATTATGCTTTGATCAAAGCAAACATCTTTCTAAATAATTTGAAGATTCTTACGTGACAATAATTATTGAGCCAAGACATTATGCTTTTCCAATCCAAGAAACATGAAAAATTAAAGAAAATATACATTACAAGCTATAAAACTGTTGAGATTAGAAAATATGAAACCAATGAAGTAAGTTGGTTATTACATGAAATCAATATCCAAGTGGTTAGCCTAATTTTTTTTTTTTTAAGGTTAACCAAAAAATTAGATTCACCATACATTGACAAACTTCTAAATTCAAAGACAATGAAAAGGAGTTGGGGTATGAAAAGGGGAAGAGAATAAGAGGGTTAATGTCATTGACATTTCAAATAACTAGGGTGTGTAAGGGATTTAAAATTATAAAAGAATTATAATAAAATGGGGATTTGGATTTGGATTTGAATTTAAATTCCCTATATCCAAACGCAGCATTGAAGTTTTTATAAACATTTTAAAAGTAAGACAAAATTAAAAAATAAATGGTGAGCTTATTTTTTTCCTGAATTGACTTGAAAAATTGCACATAAGCATTTTTTGTTAAGTTGATTAATGGTGTTAAAAAAGGGAAATCATTTGACTATGCTTTAAATTTAAAGGATAAAAAAGAATCTATAAGGTTTTTCTTTTCTTTGGCCAAAACTTAGAAGGTTAAATGACCAAAATCAAGCATGATATGAGCTTAAGGAACTAAAAGTATACTTTTGCTAAAAGTTAGTTTTATTAACAAAAATTGCTGACATTGAACTTTAAGTTGTTAACAAGACATCCTCAAATATTGATATATTAAATTTAATTTTACAAAATAACAATGATTGGCACAAAAAAATTAACATTTGAGATTAATGGTATTAGGGTTAGAGGAAAAAATACTTTACAAAATTAATGGATCAAACTGAAACATTATATAAAATTAAAGGACCAAAGGTGCACTTTTGCCAAAAAAAAAAATTGCCACGAAGCACAACTTTTTTAATATGAAAAAAATAGAATATAAAGAGGAGAAAACACAATAAGAGAGGATGCAATGAATCATTAATACTCCCTTAAAATAACCCTATGATATAACTCCAAAGATAATCCATAAACACAACTCTATAACCTAAAGACAAAAGAAATCCTTTGAACAATGACTTTAAATGTTAGCATCAAGAAGTTGGAGAAAGCAACCAGTACAGATTGCTGCTTCTCTTTTACATGTAAGATTACTTAACCTGGTGAGGTGTAATTTTTCCTTACGAAGAACATTGAAGGTTATTGAGTTCATAAAGACAAAATAACTTTTAGTCCAACATGCAGAAATAATATAAACAAAATCAAGGAATGAATAACAAACCTGCTTGATGATAAAAGCTGTTTAAACTCATCTTCTAGCTTAGAAATGGCTTTAGCTATTAAATTATTGGCATGGCTAACAATACCATCACCACTCTTAAAGCCCTTCTTACTGCCAAAAACTTGAATGTTGCCTCTCAGCTGATCAATTGCATTAAGATAATTCTCCAGGTCTTCATGTGGCCCTTTAAGTACTTTTGTTTCTGCCTGCATATTGTGTCAATGCGAACATCTTATTTTGAGTTTAATAATGCATCTGTCAGGTATCCATTATAAAATTAACTTAGGCAAAAATAAAACGGTTCAATTTCACCCCGAGTTAACAAAAGAATGGTGTTAACCATTACTAAGTTAGATTTGACCATTAACTTCTTGTGCTGGCAGGCCACATGGCACATTTTAAACATTAAAAATTTAAAAGAAGAAGCAGAAATCGTTTCAGCTTCTGCAAAAGCTTGGGATGTTGAGAGAGATTGTTGAGGGACGATGATGGCCAAGACAGGGAAAACCTCCAGCAAGCTTAGTTGACAAATACCCAAACAGGGAGAAAACACAATCCACTAATTGAAGATTGTCTAATACAGTGAAGAACACATTTGACATCCATTAACATTCGAGTCAAACCCAAATGAACCATTGGATAGATTCACAAATAGAAAAATCACCATAATGCAGTGAAGCATAAATTCAAAAAGGCTCATGTATTAATTGAACGTGTTCAAACTGTTAGCTCAAGGCAACATTGTACCTTTTAAACATCAGAGCACTATTGTGCAATTAAATACTTAAAGATACAAATTGCACCTTGCTGGATATTTTTAGGGTAGATTTGTACTTTAACCTTTTATCTTATTATAAATAATTATTGGGCTCTCTGTAAAGCCCTGGTACTTCAGAGTTAGAGTAGTCATTTTTCATGGATTATTAATAACATTCCCTTGGCTTTCCAGCTGTCTCTCTCCCTCCCTTCTTCCCCTTATCCCTTCATTCCTCTATATAACACCCCCCTCCCCTTATCTGCTATATCACCCTTCCCCCCCCCCCTTCTTTTTCCTTGTATTATTTGCCATTTCCTCTCCATCAAGAGGTATCAAAGCAAGGCTACAACTCTAACCACTTCTTCTACCATTGTCATCCACCCAAAACTTGTTGGAAAGTTGATGAAAACTTGAACTTCTCACAATCCACACGAGAGCTCATACCTTAAACCTCTAGATAAAACAAGTGACCACACCATTGGAAGTGCATTGCTGAATCCAACACATCCCCATAGAATATGCTGTCACAAGCCACCGCACATAATGTAATATATTGACAAGACTTCCTTCACGTGGGCCAAAATTTTCCAGTCTCTCAAGATTTGAATTTTTAGCCTCCTTCACCTTGTTTTCCACCCAATCTAATCTAAATTGCAATTATTCAGAACTTGGGAGTAATGTAGGGTATTTCTACCAAACTCTCCATGGAATAAAGCTTCCAACTTTCCATACTAGCCTAGATAATATCAAGGAAAGGCACAAGTCTAACATAGAATATGTAGGCTGTTGTTTTGAGGAAATCATGAACGCTGTTAACCTATTAAGTACATAATCAAAGGCCAGAACTTGAAAGATCTAATTATAGTTCAGGATAACCAAGGTCAAGGAAAGCTAGAAGAATGCTCTCAAGATCAAAATGCAGTAAAGGAAGCTACCCAGGAAGGGCCCAATGATGTCATGGTGAAAACCCTAAAATATCAACGATAAAGGTAGCACCATTGGTTTTGAAAAACAAACGGAAGTAAATTTAGAATGTAAAGACCATGAGGCTTATCAAGAAAAGCATTAAGAGCAAAGAACACATTCAGATTAAACCAACTAAAGTTACATATCCAATAATGCTATTCCTGATATCTTGAAAAACTAATTGTTGATTTTATTACCATATTTTATAGCTGCGTTGTTTGACATTCCGAACAATTCAAGATAGATTCTTTCCAGATTTCAAACCTGAAAGTAGAGTTTTATTCAACCCGGGGAGAATAATGAAGAATAGAAGAGATATCATGAACTTAAGTATTTGTAAATTAGAGATTGAGATTAAAGATAAACATTGGAATTATAAATTACCTCCTCCAATCTTAAATATAAGACACTTGTTGGAGTGTCTTGGAGGTCTAAAATATAAGATACTCTCTAGGTCAATAAATGTTTTCGCCTAAAATTCCATTTATTAAATAAAGGGCAGAGGGGTAAAAATATCCAAAAAGTAGTCTGCTAGGAATATCTAGTAGTCTAAAAGTAAAGAAAAGTATACCAGTGCCCATGAAGTTATTTTTTCAGTGCATTTGTGACCAAACCGTTAAAAGTAAAAAACGTTGACCATTATGTTTTGGACCTGAAATTTAATAGCTACGACCAAAAAAATAACTTTATGAGCACTCATGTACTTTTTCTCACTTTAAGCTACTAGATGCTCCTAACTGATAACTTCTTGGGTATTTTTGCCCATTTGCCCTTAAATAAAAAATGAGAGGGAAATTTAGAATTCAGGAGGAGGAATATCAATCATTAATTAGTTAAGGGTATATCTAGAAAGAAATTATACTTGCTATAGCTTAACTAATTTTATTGGTGGCATTAGTGCCTTACTACATTTGAGATGGGGTGGAGTATTTAATTAGTTTTATTTTGAATTTATTAAGTATTTGATTATGTTTCAATTATCATTTCAATAATTATCTTTTTTTTAATTAATTTATCCTATTTTGCATTATCTCTTAGTAAGGTCAAACTTCATTACAGGAAAAATCAATTAAATATTTTTACATTAATCAGTTGAGTTGACCAATGTGAAGGGCGAGGTCCCAGACATGTACACAAATCACATATGTTTCAAGCCAAATACAGAAAAACAGGATTTTGAACTTTCATTCACCAAATAACACACGTCCGTCTCTTAAAAAATGTAAGACATTTTTTTAGGAGTTTGATATTTAAAAAAAAAAAAGACATTTTTAGTCTTTTAATGTCTAATTATTGCCTTTTTTTTTCAAAAATATTCTATTAAATAAATCACTTTATATTAATTTTAGGGTGTTAACCCTAATAGGAATAAATATAAAAAAAATAGGTTAATTTAAAAATAAGTAACTATTTTATTGAGGTGAAATTCAGTTAAAAATGTTTTGTATTTTTTAATGGAGAGAGTATTAATTAAATCAAAAAAAAAATTAGAAAACTATTATTTGAACATGCCATGGTTGACTCAAACAATTACAATCGAGATGCAAAGATAACCAGTAACCATCCAACCAACCTGCCGATATTGATCGAATTGAACCAAAATGACCTCTGCGGCCTTCAACGTCTTGTCAATATTCTCATGAGCCTTCCGAATAGAATGCGTCCTAATCTGAAAATCCAAATGAAGGATCCTACAGTGAACAATCAGATGAGAATAACAGACAGGCTATAAAAGAGATTCACAATTTAACACCACGAAAAAGGATCCTTGAAAGAAAATTTAAAAAAAAAATCCTAAGTAAATTAGAAGTCAATACAATAATCCCAGATCCAAAAACTCAAATTGAGCTCAATTCAAATAAAAAGTATCGACTTCCCAACGTGCTTCTTCAGAAGCGCAGAGAGAGTAGTGATTTGGGGGAGACGAGCAAGAACCTGAGTAGGACGCATGGCAGTTTCAAGAGCGGAGAGGCGGTGGTCAAAGGAGCCCAGAATCGCAACGACGTCGTCTGTTATGGTCTGGCTTTTCTGAAGCGACTCCCTCATCTTCACAGCTTTTTCAGAGAGTGGATCAACACCGGCCACTGTCATTCCCATCTTTTTTGTTGTGTGGTGCGATCCTTGCTTCTGGCTAGTACGAAGACAAAAGTACGTAGATTACAGGCACTCGATTGAAGTAGCAGAAACGAATTCGAATTATTGAAACGTAATGTGACGAGACGGCTTGAGAGACAGGTCGAATTTGCCGGTTTGGTAGAAATTACCGTTGACAGCGTGTCTTCGTTCTCTTGTTTTCGTCGGATTTCAATTTTGTTTGGCTATATAATTGTAACGTTTCAAAGCCGCACCCGACGTTAAATCAAAAAGTTGAGCCAATCTCGGAATTTATTTTAATTTAATGACCAACAAGTTACACCAGCGATTAAATGGATAACATCGTAATTAAAAAAATAATATTAAATGGACACATGATATATATGTGTGTGTGTGTGTAAAGACACAAACCAACCAACAATTATCTAATTGTTAATAATATATATATATATATATATATATAGAGGTGCAGGGAAGAAATTTCAGATGAATTTTCAATAATTATCATTAATTTAATGTTTTAGTACTTAAATGCTATTCTTTCTTGTAAATTACCAAATGCAGCGCTGGGAAATTTCTAGTTTTTAATTTAAATTTGAAAAACAAAATTTTGTTTTTTTAATAATAAGACCATGGTAAACAATGCAAGGAACAACCATCAGTTCCTGTCATAATTTATAAGGCTTTTACATTAGCGTTTAGAATTATTGTTAAATGCTGGAACAACAGTCAATTTGTATATTTATTTGTTTCTTTAAAGTATGGTTGAAAGTTATTGATCAATTTTTCATAACAAAATCTCTAAACTTATTATGTTAATAGCATACAAGAGAGTATAATTTAAGGTGAAATCACGTTCAACAAGTATGAGAACTTCCTGACACCTAAATCAACATAGTATAAAAATCTGAGTTAACTAACAAATTATTAAACTAGTATATTAAACGTGTAATATTTCAGACTATACATAACAGAGAGCCATCTCCTTTTGCCTTGTGAAATTACCTGTTTGTCCTTTGAAGGAAAAACACACCTACACTTGCCAGCATATATTTTTCTTTTTCCATCTCCTTTTCCAGTTTCGATCAGCCGAGAAAGAGAGAGAGAGAGAAGTGCTTCGAGAATATCCGGCCTCTGACCGTTTTCCATTCTTCTCCGCTGCTCCTCCTCGCCGAATCCTCCTCTGCCTTCATCCTTTCCTTTCTTTTCTTTGCTCATTCACTGGCGAGGGTACATGTAGGTTGCCGATCGCTCACTGCAGCAGTGGGTTCGACTCGAGACTTCTTCTTCCTCTTCTCTTCTTTTTGTGTGTGAACGCCGAGTAGGTAGGTTATTGCTACTGGAAGTCCGAATCTGAGTTCCTTCCCTCCCCTATGCACATGATTGAATTCTTCTCCCTTCCCCTGTTCCACCGGTGCTGATTGAGTGGGTTGATTTCTTCATCTTTTTCCTTGTGTTGTCGGTGTGTGTGCTGTGTGAGTTGTTGGGCATTTATGTTGCTCTTGTTTTAGAAGTTAAATTTGAAATTCTTTCCTTAGCTGTACGTGTAAGGGGAAGGTTGATTGTTTAACTAATTTTAAATTGATGGCATAAGTTTTTGGTGGCAGTCTGGGGAAATCATGATATATATATATATATATATATATTAGTTACGTTGATTATTGACAAAGGATGATTTAAAAACTATAATTAGGATTATATTATAATAATGTAATTAGTTTGGTTAAAAATAAAAAGAGAGTTTGGAGGTATAAACGAGGATGTATGGAAAAATTTAAGAAAAATTAATTATTTAATTTTTATAATTTTAATTTAACTATAATTAAGTTTTTTAACTTTAATTCGTTATAATTATTTTAATTTAATTATAAATCAATCTTTAAATATTGTTTCATACAATTTAATTCTGAAATTTTAACTTTTTATACATAAGTCTCTATATTTTAAAAAATAAAACTATAAAAATTAAAAATATTTTAAAATTTATTATTAATATTTTAAATTATTAAGCTTTTTAATCTTTGTAAATATTATAAAGTTTAAAATATTTTTAATTTTTTAATTTTATTTTTTAAAATATAAGAATCAATATTTAAAATGTTAAAACTTTAGGAGCTAAATTGTAAAAGGTAAAATTTAAAAATTAATTTATAATTAAGTTAAAAATTTAAGAATTAAGTTATAACAAATTAAAGTGGAGGGTCTAAATTACAATTAAATTAAAATTATAAGAATTAAATAATTAATTTTTTCACAAATTTATTCAACTTGAAGAAAAATTTATTAAAAATTTATTATATTTAATAGTGACTCCAAAAGAAGAGAAGTTTGATTGAAATTGTGAGAAAAGAATTTTAGAAACTTGTTGATATATCAAATAAGTAAATAATGTTTGCCAATAAATAGAAATACTGATTTTTCTCTTACTTTATTTATTTACTTTAATTGTTCTAAACATATCTTTTTAATCATATCTTATGATTAAGCTAATTTATATGTAATTACCTTATTTATGATTCAATGTTAATTACAATTTCATTAGCCATTAGTGTGTCATGACACACCTAACTAGTGAGATATATTGGAGGTGCTAGCCATGTGTGTTGGCTAACACACGTAAAAGGAGGGATGTAATTTTGTAAATATAATATACACTTATTATTCATGAATTTTATACTTACACTTGTTTTTTCATGTCGAATGTTACTTACCTTTATATGCCATGTATTCACACCTATCATTCGTTCAATTAAGGTCCTAGTAGAAAATAAGTTTTTCAAATTATATTTTCATTCTTAAAAATTGTGTTTTTATGATCTTAAAAAAGAGATATATTCTTAATTTAGTGGTTATGATTTTCTATTGTCTCTTTATATTTTTGTTACTCAATTATTAAAGATAAATTGTGCTGTTATTTTCTAATACCATTGATAATTAGATTAGTCACTTGTTTTTTTTTTGTTTTATATATTCATGATTATCATTTTTATTTATATATTATTATTATTATTATTATTTGAAGACGTGATTTATTAGAAGAATTTTTGGTATTCAAATAATAGAAGTTGACTTACTCTTTAATAGATCTCATGAGACTCCTTAAGATAAGAAACATTTTGTTGCTTTAATTATGTTATAGGTTAATGTAAATATTTAAGCATTTTGTTTTTGCTATAGAGTCGCTCTGTGTAACATCCTGATTTTTTATATAATAAAGAAATTGTGGAATTTAGGTTTTGAGAAAAAAAAATGATAATAATAGGAATTTATATTATTTGAGGTTATTCAGACATAATATTATGGTTAGGTATTTAATTATGAATTTAAAAATTTAAATTTAAAACTACATAAGCAATATTTAGTTAAGATATAATACATAAATAATTTTTTTTATGTATGTGTTGAAAAAAAAAAAGAGAAGGTAGAAGGAACAAAAAAAAAAGGGGGTGGAAGGTTGTTGTTTCTAAATCCCACATTGGTTAGATGAGGGAAGAGAAGAGGTGCCTTCATGTATAAAAAGGAGGGGGTGTGTGCATTAGGAAGCATGAGAGGCTAAGATGCAATTTAGAGAAAATTGCAACTTTTGGCCCGAAGGTTTGAATAATTAAATTCAAACCTATAGTTTTTTTTATATAATTTTGGGACTCACAATCCCATTTTTATATTATTTTTCTCTCTTCCTCTCACGTTGCTCTGCGTCTTCTCGCAAGGGGGGATTATTTTCTTTTTCTTCAAGTATGTTCTAACTTTCCTGTTTAGATTAGCATTTAAAAATTTATTTAATTACAAAATTAATTTTATAGTTATTTTCTAAATAATATTAGCTTTCTAGTGATATGATTATTTTGTAGGATAGAGTAAATATTTTGGTTAGGATTTTTCTATAGGATAGTTAATCTGATGATATGATGGATTAAAAATATAGGTTAAAACTCTTAGGGATATAATAAATATTATAGAATATTTTCTTGAGGTTGAAACTCATGTTTAAGAATTTTTGAGTTAAAATCTAGATCTATATGGTTGAATTTATGTGGAATCTGAGATTTAGGGATAAACCTATGATTATTAAATATTTATTTAAGTATGAATAGGTATTTTTGAGGTTATAGAAAGGTGATTTGAGGCTTCAGGATAATTTTAAAATTTAATTTATTTTTGGACAAATTTTTAGAATATAGAAGGATGAAATTGTGATATTAGAAGTGATTTGAGGATAAAAAAAATAGTTTATTAGGGTACGAGAGTTTTAGAAAAGAATTTGGAAAGTTAAATGAGGCATAAATCTTAAATTAGTGTTAATATGGATTATAGATCTAAGACTTTCTAACTATTTAAATTAGAGTTATTTATTTTAATGTAAAATTAATATATAGTATTGTGAAATAATTATGTAGATTATATTGACAAAGATAGTGGTGAAAAAGGAGTTGTGAAGGGGAACTTGTTATTCAAGACACAAGGTAACCATTATTAATGTGTTGTGATGAGTGTGTTTGTGAATGGTTATGTGTTGACTTGTTATTTGGAAAAAACTATGAATTATTGAAAATAAATACTGTTATATACTTGTTTGAAATTATTGCCAAGTGGGTCAAAAATTTATTTTTATTTATGATGATGAGATATTATTGTTCGGATATATTCCTGTTTGGATATTTGAATGATGCATGACTTGTCAGGGTATTTTAATGTATGGTGTTAATGGGAATTTCTGTTCGGTTAATTATTACCACGTGGTAAGCCCTCATTGGACCCAATGAGTGGCATGTCGCTTGGTCCAACTCACCTTTGGCCGGGTGATTTGGCGTCCGAGCATGGCGAAAGGAGGATATAAGGTGCAGTCATGCAAATTAAATACTTGTTCAGTTTATTTGAAAATATTGTTCGGTTAAATGTTTTGTGTGCCCACTTAGCAATCGCATGATTAGTTACATCCGCATGCATCATTACATATTAATTTTTGGTTACTGAGACTTTTAAGTCTCATTCCCCGTGGTTAATATTTTTACAGGAGCGAGTCCGGCCGAGAAAGCACCGGAGGTGTAATTATGGTGTATGAGACACCATCTTTTACGTTGCCTCTTATTTTGGATTATACAATGTATCTTGTGCCAACTTAGGACATATCTTCTTTGTGGAGCATGTAAACTCTAATCCTTTTTATTAAATGCATTTATATGTTCAAGAGGATTATGTCTGTCCCTTTTAATTTATGACCTGATTTGAATAACATGCTATGAGGATCATGTCTGTCCCTCATAGTTCTAATTGCTTTTTGAGATATTTTAAGACCTGTGGTATATTGTCTTGGATATATCATGGTAGAAATTTTTCTACCATGATAAGGGTTCAATGAAAAAAAAAAGAAAGTAAAAAAAAAGGATTTATTGAATTAATAATTTGCGAAAAATAGGTCTGTAAATTTGAGGGTGTTACACTCTGCAAATCATATAAGCAAGATCCTTGCTTAAAGTATTTTGGTTTACACACACACACACACACACATATATACACTCTATTGAAGTAGAACTCCAAATGTTACTTCGATGCTCTTTTCAGGAAGTTCAACTTAAAGCAAAGATTTTGTCAAAATTTCTACAGCAAACTTAAATATTTTATTCTCATTAACAATTGTTTAATATAAATAATAATTGTATGATAAAATTATAATTAATATGTTAAATGTGTTAAGAGTTTAGATTATAGAATACGAGTTTTCTTGTATTTCAGCCGAACACTTTGAAAATTTGGAATGTGATAAAACGGTTTACTAAAATATTTTATTTATGACTAATCTAATTATAATTTTAATCATTAACTATTGAAGTAATTCCCTAAGTCATGCAATGATCCTATTTTTAATACATGCATGCATGCATGCATGCATATAATAAAAGAATAACAAATACATTTCTATGAATGACAAGTATCATTTTCTTTAAATACTTCAATTCTTAAAAGCCACATGGGATTTTATTTACAAAACTATTTTTAATTCATAAATATAATTTATTTTTATTTTTTCATTTTGATAACTTCTTAACCCCATGGTCTAACAACTTCCTAACCCCATGATTTTTCTTTTAGATACAGTTAGTTATCTAGTATTCTATCATCCTAATAACTTCTTAACTCTACGATTTAATTTGCAATTTTTAAATTCAAACATATAATTAAACTCAGTGATCCCTCTTTTAATTAATTCAAATCAATTTGAATTGGTTATTAAGTTTAGATTTAAATTTCAATATAGATAATAATTTTGATTATTCTATCATTCTAATAACTCCTTAGTGAGAAATATATTGAAAAGACAAAAAAAAAAGTGAATTATGTTGAAAAGATATATTATTATTTATATTTTAAAATTTTAACTTCCTAACACTATGACACATGATCTATGTTTGAATTGATTTGAATTTATAAAATTTAGATTTTAAATTCTGTTTTTTACATTTGAAAATTTTAATTAAGAATAAAATAATTTTCTTAAATTATATTATAATTCAAATTGAGTAAATAAAAAATACACCAATTTTAACATCATTTAATGGGAATTACATTTATTTAACAATTGATGCGTATTTTAATTATATATATATATATATATATAACTGCAAACTTATTCCAAGCAATAACACATATTTCTTTTAAAATAAATACACCAAATTTTTTAAATGTTTAGGTTTTAGAGCTCCATGATTCCTTTCTCTTTAAAAAGTGGAAACAGTTACAACTACTCATGAGTTTCTAATAACAATGATAAGAGGTAGTTTTTTAAAACCATAACATCTCAGCCTCAACATTCATGGCCAATAATGATGCCATTAGCCATTATATGCATGTGGGTGCATGATTGTTAAGATTTTCTATTCAAAATTATATCTTCCTGCCTTATCTATCTCACTCTATCATAAGTCATAATTTCTCTTTCCTATCATTGTATGGTCATTTTTATCATAGGCCTCCTTCTCTTTCTTTTTCCCTTTCTTTGCATCTGCGTTTCAATCCAAGACCACTCTTGGAGTGAATAACTCTCAGTGAGGCAACTTGGTGCACCGCTTTAGAGGACACATTTCCCATTTTAGGTACTGTTAAAGCACAGGTTTGAGCGATTGGGTTTGATTCACTTTATTGTTCAATTTTTCTCTTAACATGCATTGGCGTAGGTTAAATCATGAGAACAAAATGTTTAATACTTACAAAGATTTTGGAGTGTGTATTTTTCATTGAAATAAATAAAAATGGGAGAATCATACTCACGTCCCTCCCAAAAAAATTTATCATAGATAAGCATTAATAACAAGTCCGATTTGAGAAAAAAAATAAGTTGTATTCTCATTTTAATAACAATTCGTTCCGCATTAGTCCTTATCTATAATTAATTCTCTCAGGAGGTGGCTGAATGTAATTTTCCCAATAAAAATCCTTATCAATTTTAGAATAGATACTTGCAATATCTTTATTGATCAAAATAGAGAAAATTATTATGATTTATTCTCATTAAGGTTTTCTTTTTGTTATTTGTTTGATCTTATCTTTTAATTAGATTACTATAAACTATTTTATACTTGAGGAGAAATATCAATGAGTTTGCTAAGTAGCAATGACTATTGCATATTGTGCACCTTTCACCTAACCAATTATTTTCCTTTGTACAAGTTTTTGAGTCCCTTCCTCCCCAGTCATATATTAATCTTCAAATTCACCTACAGTTAAGGCATTTCAAATGGTTTCATCTAATTACAAAAGAAAAGAAAAAGAAAACTTTCTTGCTTTATTATCAACAACCTATTTCCTTACTAAAATTTGTCTTTAAATACTATAATTTATGTTACATGACATTGTTTTTCTTGTTAATTTCTATTACAATTCTCCCTTTTTAACAGACTAAGAATTCAAATTTAGAATATAAAAGATGAAGATGAAGGGTGATTGAACAACCTTATCGAAAATGGTTTCAATGTAGGTCATTGTTAATTGATGGTTTGAATAATAGGCATTCTCTCCATGTTTTGTTGAATAATCACATGATTTGATGATTGATCATTAAAAAAAAAATTGAAGTTAAGATTGCATTATTGTCTGCAAAAGTTTTGCTGCATATTTAGGTTTCATGTTTGTGTGTGTGTGTGTGTTTTTTTTTTTTTGAGAGAAGTTGAAAGCTTATTCTTATTACAAAATTTAACAAATGCTATGTCTTTGTGACTGTTTTTGTTGGTACCAAGTACTTTCTAGAACTATTGAATAATATTTTCTAGAACTTTTACTGCACTAACACAAGCTCTTGTTGAGGTATTGGTTTTGACTTTTTATTTTAAAGAAAGCATTTTTAGGACTCTTAGGAATTACCTTTTTCACATAAATATGATGTTTTTTCGATTGTTACTATAATGAACTTGATCAACTTATTTAGAGATGTAAGTAACAACAACTATTTATAACATATATTTATGGATATGACATACTTCTTCTATTCAAAAATGTAAAGCATTTTTAATTAAATATCATCTCTCAATAAAGTAGTTACCTACTTTTAAAATAACCATATCTTTTCATATTTACCCTATTAAACACCCTATAATAAATATAAAATTATTATCAATATGGACATTTTTGGAAAAAAGGGAATGACTACACCTTGAAGAACTAAAAATGTCTTATATTTTTTTAACATTTAACTCCTCAAAAATGCCTTACATTTTTAAATGGAGGGAGTAAATAAAATTTAATTTTCTACAAAAATAGAATATTATAGGCTATATTTGCCTTCTTTGCATGACAAACCAAGCATAAATTCTTGTTACATCTTCAAAACCATAAATACCAAATTATAATTCAGGCCTATATCAATATTAATATCAATCAATCATCAATATATATTTATAAATCTTGTAAAATGAAGATGATTGGTCACAAATCTCTTTTATCCTCTCCCATTGGTTAATTTAATTTTAGTCTAATATTAATATTATAATTTTATTGGTTGATGTGATTGAATTTTTTTTTGATTGGTTGATATAATTTAATTTGTTTTTTATTTCTTTTAATTGATTTTTATTTTTTCATGGGACAATCAATTTAGACTGATTGAATATTTTTCATGATTGGTTAATAGAATTTAATTTTTTTATTTATTTTAATTAACTTTTATCTTTTTATAAAATGATCAATTTAATTGTAGTCTAATATTAATATTACTATTTTATTGGTTACACGAAAAACTGTCTAGTTATAAACAATGAAAAGAAGATGTTATAAATATCCCAATGACATGTTTTATTTTTAAATGATATACTCCCTTCATTCAAAAGTATAAGGCATTTTTAATTAAATTTCATCCACAATAAAGTAGTTATCTACTTTCAAACTAACCATATCTTTTCATATTTACTTCTATTAAATACTTTACAATAAATATAAAGTCAATATCAATAGGGTTACTTTTAAAAAAAAGATAATAATTATATTTTAAAAGATTAAAAATGCTTTATATTTTTGAACTTCAAACTCCTCAAAAAATGCTTTACATTTTTGAATGAAGGGAGTACAAAAATAACATGTTTTATTTTTAAATGACATACTCCCTTCGTTCAAAAGTATAAGGTGTTTTTTATTAAATTTCATCCATAATAAAGTAGTTATTTACTTTCAAACTAACCCTATCTTTTTATATTTACCTCTATTAAATACTTTACAATAAATATAAAGTTAATATAAATAGGGTTATTTTTGAAAAAAAGACAATGATTACACCTCAAAAGACTAAAAATGCTTTATATTTTTTAACTTTAAATTTTTTAAAAAATATTTTATATTTTATTTTAATTTTTAATGAGATAAAATGATTTTTAAGATGAAATAGAATATGAGGTAAAAATTTAATCTTAATTTTTTTTCAGAATAGGATGTGGGTGGAGTGATCTCGAGTCGTCCCGTAAACACTCCTGTTGTTTATTAACGAGAAACGACTAGATGTGGTTCCAACCTGAAAGGACATTTTGGTCAATTTCGCTCCATTCCTTAAAGCAGAGAATAATGCGCTCTCAATCTCATAAAAGCTGGGCGTTCTTGGAATGGCATTTTGTCGACTCGCTTGCTTTCCTCGTTCATCTGCTTCGCTGATTCTGGTCTCCACCACCACCATCACCACGACGACGATCAATCCTATTCATCTCACTCTTTCATCCCCTAACTACCCTTCCCTGATTCTCGATCTCTCTTCGCTTCACAAATCTCTCCCTTCGCTTCCCTTGCGTTCTTCTCATTCCTCTAATTCTTCACGACCGTCGGATTCCATGGAAGCTCCTCCGGCAGGTTACCGTCGAAATGTTGGTATATGTCTGATGAATGATGATAAAAAGGTCAACTCTCTCTCTCTCTCTCTCTCTCACTCCCCCTCTCGACCTTCTTCCTGGGAGCGTCGTTACAACTTATTAAACGACTCTCTTCTCTACAGGTTTTTTCTGCTTCGAGGCTGGATATACCTAATGCTTGGCAAATGCCGCAGGTAATTCTCGAATCATTCGTTTTACTTTCTTTCCTTCCTGTATGAGAGTTTAAGTTTCGGTGCTTGTAGACGGAGCTTCCTTTTTTCATTCCAGTTTTGAAGTTGAACACTGTTATTCGCGATTTTAATTTTATTTGATAAATTGATATATTAGAAAGTTTTAACTTACAGTTACAGACTTGGAAGATGATTTATAGGTAGAAGCACTTAGTCAGTTGTTAAGTATCAGCTCATCTTATAGAAGTATTGTTGTAACTTGGATGTTAAAGGAAATAAAGATAAATTATGGTCCTCACACCTGTTTCTTGGACTATATTATTCGTTGCATGTGGGATGATATGCCTACTTTAATTAACTTAACATGGCATCTTCTAGGGTGGTATTGATGAAGGTGAGGATCCAATTAATGCAGCTATCAGGGAATTGAGAGAGGAGACAGGAGTGAAGTCAGCAGAAGTTGTTGCAGAGGTGCATATTACATTTAATTCTTTGCTTTCTTATTTTATCTGTCTCTAATTTCTTGGACAAATAACTGATTCCATCATCTATGGTTGAGTATTTTCCAATTAGTTGTTGTTGGCAGCAAATCATATTTCACCATTCTAATACATAAGTCAGTAAATTAGATTTTGTGATCTTATTGGTAATAATAAGCAATCCCACTTAGCAGGATAAGGCTATTTGTTGTTGCTTGTTATTGATAATAACGAGTAAAGAATAGAGTGGAATAACTTTAATTATGCAGATCTTGTCTAGGATCCTTAAAAAGATACAAATGTGCAAACTGAGGCTATATTCTTTGCATATATGTCGCCTTTGTTACGTGACTATTACTGCTAACTTTTAGAGACTCTTTAAATGTAATAAATAAATTAGAAGCTGTATGGTGCTAGGCTTCGGATAGCCGAATACAAGAAAATTTGAAATCAAGGGATATTTTAGTGATAAATTGGATTATCTCCTTTTATCTTGTGCGCAAGAATTATTCAGAATTAAGACTTAGTATTGGGATTCTTGAACCCATCCCTTCATGGTGGGAAATTCCTTTGAAGTTTGAATAGATATTTTCACTACATTTTTCAATATGTTGAGGGAGGGCTTTTTTCCTCTTGATTTACATTTTGTTGTAACTTCTATTTTGCTAATGAAACTTACTTCTGTTGATGCTTTTTTTTTTTTTAATTTTTTGATAATGCTATTGATGCTTTTAGTGGATGGAGGATTGGTATTTCTGCTGGTTGTATGAAAATATCCGAACTCAGATATTGTAGTGGTGTTATGATTGCTTATCTCAGAAATCTTATAGCCTATCTGTCCTTGCATTTATTTCTCAAGATTTAGAGCCTTTTATATGAGTGAATCTTACATTTCTGTTTTACTTTGTTAAAATCTATGTAGGCTTTTCATTGATAAGGAAGCTTTGCTGCTGCTTTAATCTTTCTTTACTTTGTTTAAATGAACTATTGTGAGCATATGCTAAGATTTGGCATGAGTTAGCATTATTGCCCTACCCGTTAGGTTGTTGTTAATCAGATGCCTTTGCTATCAGGCATAAGGTGTCTAAAAATGCCCCCAAATTCATGATATACTACTCATAATGGAGCTGTTTGATATACCATCATCTTTATCTTGGAATTTTGTTTGTGTTACTTCCTTGAGCTAGATGCTTGTGTTTTTGATACATTCACTTGCAATTGAAACATTGGCATTTAAGATGCGTATATAGCATATGATTCCCAATAATTACGAGTACCAAATATCTCACCAAAAAATGATCATGAGTTTTTTTGGTTCCAAAATTATGGAGTTAAGGTTGACTTATTATGCTATATTTTGCAATTGATATAAATTTTATTCTATAATTACTTTGTACCTATGTTAGGCACTCAACAGGATCAACAGAATCATTTGATTCCATAATCTTCACCCTAGCAAACACCTCCCCCAAATTTCTTTGCTTCTATACATTTCTTGCTGCAAAATCATCCTGATCTTGTAAAGCACCTTTCACTGAACCCGCGGCAACTAATATCTTGAAACATTTACAACCAATGTCAATATGTGCAGTAACATCTTTTGGAGTCAATGGGTGCCAAGAAATCTTTTGCCAACATCACTATGTTATGATCAAGTTCAATGATATTTTTGTTACCTAATAAATTAAGAACTTCCAATCAAACCAAGCCCTATGTTAGCTTGTCTTGTGCCTCTGTTTTGACACATGGAAAGACACTCAAGAGTCCTGTTCAAATCATTGCTTTTCATATCCAGATCAGACTCTAATCCCTCGGATATTACTAGTACATGAAATTTTCCAGTGGTATAGGCCATTCCCATCAAGGATTGTGCTGAATTGTGATGGTATTCTTTCCCCAGCATAATTTCCCCTTTAAAGACAGACAACGTCAATTTTCCCGAAAGAACTCCTTTGACTCCCATAACTAGAGGACCAACAAGATTGTCCTCTAAGCTTATTGATGGTATGAGGGCATCAGCCTAGTCAATCACATGAACACAAGAGATATATTATTTTTAATTATGAACTGTTAGGATTGCTAGTCTGGGGTCTTTGGGCTCATATGGTTGCTAATGCCTCATCTACATTATACTACCCGTTGACAATTTACTAAGTGCTCTCCTTTCTCTGTCTTTTTTGTAGTTATTAATCCTCATCTTAGTGGATTTTTATTGCAGGTACCTTATTGGTTAACATATGACTTCCCACCACATGTTAGGGAGAAACTGAAAGTTCAGTGGGGATCTGACTGGAAGGGCCAAGCTCAGAAATGGTAAGAATGTGGGTTGGTTCAATTTGGACAGAGTAAGAACTCATGTAATAAGAACAGAGGCTAAACCGGTAAACCATACTTTGTGATTTATTGAATAACTCAATACCAATCTTGTAAGACTGTATGCAATGAATATTTCTGAATTGTTTTGCATGCTTCGATCCTTTTTTGTCCCTTTTCCCAGTAAGGAGGCCATAGTTGTATAGACCTGCTTGCTCGCTTGCTTAAAAAATTTGCGCCAAGTGGGTAGTGAAAAGTGATTGGAATTGCGAAGGCTCCATGGGAGTAGGGACATCTCTCTTTTAACTGTTCGTGTCTGTTTTGTTATCCATTATTTCATTTATACTGCAGGTTTCTAATGAGATTCACTGGGCAAGATCAAGAAATCAATCTTTTAGGCGATGGTACTGAGAAAGCTGAGTTTGGGGATTGGTCATGGATGTCACCAGAACAAGTAATTGAGTTGGTGAGTATACCTCAATTGTATTTCCATTTTCCTTTTTTTGTCTTAGGTATAAGGAACTTTTGGGATTCTAAATTCATTTTTGGTTTAATGTTCTCCCCTTCAACTTTTGAAAATAGTGCAATGTTGCCTTTAGCATTAATAAAAGTTAACCTTGATTGTTAATTGACCAAACAGTGATAGAAAGGGATCTAAAAAATTTCATTAAAAGGCCAAAAAATTACAGAAAATGTTAACACTTGTTAATGGCAGGGTTATGTTACAACATTTTAAAATGTTGAGAGGGAATATTGCGTCGAATACAAGTTTAAAGTGTCAAACACTTATGGACTGTGGTTTCGGGGTAAAAAAATAATAATAATAACATATGGTAGCCTAGACTAGACAGCCCATAATTATCTATTATACGTGCAGGCTGTAGATTTCAAGCAGCCTGTCTACAAGGAAGTCCTTGCCGTGTTTGCTCCATTTCTCCAAAAGTGATACTAAAGTTGTTGAATGTGCCATATCTTCCTAATTGTGTGGGCTTTTAATGATTGTTACTGTCACTGAGGGGATTAAGGACATTACTGTTTTTGGCAACATGAATAGGGTTATTAGCTGTGATTATTATCGGCATCTCTGCCCATTTTTATTGCAAAATAGGCACCGAGCCAATAAGCTAATAGTTCCCATAAAGCTAACTTTAGTGTTAAAGATAAACTTGATGCCAGGTGTTCTATACTAGTCATTTACTGTTTTCTAGTTTGAAGTGGGGAAAAAGTGTAACGTGGAATATTGCTTTTGTAATTTTTTTTTAAAAAGGAAGTGCCATTAAAATCTTTTATATGTGCATTACTTTCCTGGAAAAAGAAACGAGAGAAGTCAATGAAATTCAATGGAATCTACCCTTTGGATTCTCCAAGCCAACAGATCATTTTTGATCGTCCCATGCATACATTATTTGGTGTTTGATATATGGATGCTTTAGTCCTAAATTTTTTTCTTTTGCATAGCCAAATACTCTTTCGCTTCCTTGGTCATATTTTGGAAATATTCTTTTGGTTAGTAATATAGGTATTTAATATGATATTATGTTTTTTCAATATTATCCATTTAAGTTCATTAATTAAGAGAGAGAATGTAATTTAATTTTGAAAAATTTTCATTTAATAAAAATTGAATGGACTACTTAGTAAAATCAAATGTTATCACGACTTTTAAATTTGCCCAACTTTTTTGACATTTATTCAATAAATGCAATAGGCTCAATGAATAAACTTAAACTTAGGTTCCTTTAATTTTAAGTGCCGCAAACAGAAAAATAAAAACTTTGAAAGTCCAGCAGCCTACGGAATGAAACAGTGGGTGTGGAAGCACCTTGGAAGTCTCATAAATGAGACGCAAAAGCACGCAAGTCAACATGACAGTGACAAGTAATGACCCACAACCTCATCAGTCATCACCTCATATAATGCTAATAACAGAGTCTGAACTCTTATCATAAAACTCTCATCTTTCCGTCACGTTGCTTTACTATTCTCTCCCTTTTCAAGGTCACCTAGACAAAAGATGCTTCCTCTCACCCTCTAGGAACCTGTCTGGAACCTCACCATTTCTGACAAATTGACATTCATTCTCTCTCATCATTCGTTTCTCTATATATTCCCTCTTACACTTCACTCTCCTCTCAACCAAATATCCTTCTCTCTCCTCTAAACCGAGCTTCTCATTCTCGCACTTAACTTGCATCTTCATCACCAGTAGTTCTGCAGAATAAAACCAAGTATGGAAAACTTTGCATCCAGCATCAATGGTGATGAACTTTGCTTTCAAACTACAAACCAATCCTTCTTCTCTGGCTCTCTTCCTTACCAGCAGAGACCATTATTCATGAGTACTTTGAGCTCAACCATATGTTCAAAATCATCATCATCACCAAAGTCTTCATCGAATTTAAGCAACAGGAAGCCGTCTATAAATATAACTATCCCTCCCATGGGCTTAATGAGGATGAGCAAATCTGATGATGCCACAGTTGCAGAGGACAATAATAAACACTACCGAGGAGTTCGACGGCGGCCGTGGGGGAAGTTCGCGGCGGAGATCCGTGACCCGACTCGAAAGGGGTCGAGGGTGTGGCTCGGAACCTTCGACACAGCCATGGAAGCTGCAAAAGCATATGACAGAGCAGCGTTCAAGATGAGAGGAAGCAAAGCTATTCTGAATTTCCCTCTTGAGATTGGATCAGCGAGTTCAGAAGAAGAAGAATCTTCTAAGTCCACTACAGTGGAAAAAAAGGTGGTGGTTGGTGAGAAAAGGAGGAGAGAGGAAGAAGAAGAAGAGAGAGAAGTACAGGATCAGAAGAACGAAGAATTGAAGAAGATGATGAAGAAGAAGGAGGAGGAGGAGATTGTTTCTTCTTCTTCTACAACCACGGCTGGTCCGTTATCGCCGTCATGGTGGAAGGGGTTTTGGTGGGATACAGAGGCTGTGAACACTATTTTCAGTGTTCCTCCGTTATCGCCGTTATCTCCTCCAATGATGGTTATGTGAGGTAGAAGAAAGGAAAAAAGGAAAATAAATTATTAAAGATAAGAATGAGTGATGACGTTTTATCACCAAAAAAAGAAAAAAAAAAAAAAGAAATGAGTGATGATGCAAATGCTTATCCTCTTCAGAAATATAGAATTGAGTGTGATTTGTTGATATGTAACGAGATATAGATTAGTTGTTGGCAAGTACATGCATAGAGAGAGTAGTTATTAGGATTGGACTTTGAGTATGGTGGTTTTTCTTTTCTTTTCTTTGGTGTAAAATTTTTTGTATTAAATTTATTTGTTGATTATTTTAAAAATTATTAAATTTTATCCTATTCATTTCTATATTTATACATTTAAAGATTCCTTATTTCTATGGCTTCGTTGCAAAATGGTAATCATGTTGAGGTTTACTGGGAATTTATAATGAGCCTCCTCCTATAATACTTTAACTTTCGATTTCGTTTTTTTTTTAATGATTAGCTTTTGCATAACATTATATGGTATTTTCAAAGAAAAATACCATAAAAATTTACGTAGAAGTAAATAATGATCCAAAGACAAAAAATGAAAACAATTTAGGAAAAAATAATCAATTTTGGTTAAGTATAATAATTATATTCAGAAGTTAAATAATTTAACTAAATTATCTCTGTAGTTAATTTTTATGAGAGTAAATTTAAAAAAAAATATAATGAATATTTCTTAAAATTTATAATTTTATTTATAAATAAAAAAGGTACACATTTCTCATATATTTAAAAAAGCGGGGTTACATTAAAAACCCAGTCCAGGCTGCGTCATGTTTCTTTGATAGTAAGCTTCTGTGCCTAGCCCTGTGGATTGGAGAAATTCAAGGCTTGTTCATGCTTGTGGGCCCGTCTCAAATCTTGTTGTTTTTATGGTAAAAAATTATACTACATCCATTCTTATTTATAAAATATTTTAAAAAAATTATAATTTTTTAAAATATAAAATATTTTAATAATAATAAATTTTATTAATAATATTTTTTTAATATTATCTTTTTTTACTATTCTTTCATAAATGAAATATTAAATTGAGAGATATATTTAAAAATTTATATTTTTATTTTTAAAAAAATAAATTTATAAAGTGAATGCAATAAATTTTATTTGTACGTATACTTTTATTAAAAATATTTTATAAATTAAAACAATGGAATATTTTTCAACAAGGTGAGGGTGACTTGGTTAGGCCCAAAGTTGTTGACTTAAGCCTACTTTGAAATCTTGCTTGGAGAGTTCGGTCGAGACTGTTTTGTACTTGGCCCTACGGTTTTGCCAAATGATCCCACGCATGAGTACTTCTTCGATTTTTTTAAATATAAAAGAAACTAAAATATATTTCATCATTTTTTTAAAAAAATAATAATAAAATCCTTTAAATTATATAAATGATAATTTAATTTTTTAAAATAAAAAAATAATAATAAAATCTCTCAAATTAGATAAATGACAATTTAATTTTTCAAAATATTATAATTTCACTAAAGTTGTTAGGGACTTTTTTCTCAATAAATTTTTAATTGAAAAGATCATTTTACTTTTATTGATAAGTTATGATTTTTTGTTTAATTCTTGTAATTTTTGAAATAAAATTTATTAATCCTTAAACAAAAGTTTTAATTGGAGATTGTTATTTTGAAAATTTATTTTTCACTAACAAAAATTATACTTAACAAGTTGTGATTTTTTGTTCAATTTTTATTATTTACAGAATAAAAGTTATTATTCTTTAAGTAAAAATTATAATCATGGCTTGTTTTTTAATAATAGAAATTATATTTGATAAGTTATGATTTCTTGTTCAATTCTCACGATTTTTTGAATAAAAGTCATTATTTTTTAAATAAAAGTTGTGATTTTTTGTTTAACTGTTGTGATTTATAGAATAAAAGTTGTTATTCTTTAAGTAAAAGTTATGATTAGGGCTTACTTTTCAATAAACGAAACTACACGTGACAAGTTATGATTTTTTGTTCAACTCTAACAATTCACAGAATAAAAATTATTATTTTTTAAACAAAAGTTATAATTAAGATTTATTATTTTCAATAAGGTAAAAATGGTTTTTTTATTTCAAAATTTATTAACATAAAAATCTCTAGAAACATTAATAAAATTATGACATTTTGAAAAATTAAATTATTATTTATATAATTCATGAAAATTTTATTATTATTTCACCCTTTTTTAATAAATAAAACTATAAAAACTAAAAGTATTTATAACATTTTTTCTAAATTATTTCTCATAAAACCAGTTATTTTCACTAGACAAGCTCCATTCCTTCATATGCTAAAAATTAATTACAAGGTATTTTAATCTAAATATTTTAATTTAAAATATAATTATTATACCTAACCAACTGTCTTAAATTATTTAAGTTAAAATTTACTTATATTTAAATATTAAGTGAGTGTAATTAATGATGTGCTAGTTTCCAAAGGCCATTTACGTTTATTGTGGTCCATATTTAATATTAAATTTTCATATAATTTTTCCAAATTTATATTTGATAAAGGTAATATTAAAAATAAAGATGATTTCCTATCCGATAGTTTTTTTAAAAAATATTTTTTTAAAAAAATTAAAAGTTACAGAATTTTAAATCTATGCTTTTTAGAGTAAATTTAGATAATCAATTTATAAAAATTATAAAATTTTATATTGAATTTGAATTATCTAAATTAAATCTGGGAAATTGGTGATAAAACTGATTTATTAGAATTTTCATAATTTTTATATTTTTTATTTTAATAAATATAACATAAAAACTTTAAATATGAACTATCTAGATAAATTCTAGACAGTCCAGCTTTCATCACCTTCGCACCATGAGTATGGAAGATGATTCCAAAAAGATATTTCACATCATATACTTCTTTCATTCAAAAATATAATATATTTTTTGAAAGTTTGAATGTTAAAAATTATAAAATATTTTAATGATTTAATGTGCTTTTACTAAAAGTACCTCTAATAAATAAGTTACCTTATATTTATTTTAAAATAAAATAGTTTATTAAATAGAGATAAATATGAAAAGATAATGTTAGTTTAAAATTAATTATTTTATTGAGAGAGTGATAGATTAAAAATTTTATATTTTTAAATAAAAAGAGTAGTTTATATGATTGCTTATGCAGGGACTAGAGGGAGTAGAGTTAGGAATTAAGGTATAAAAAAAAGAAAACACTCACATAAAGCAATCAAAAGTTAGTTATGTAGGGCCGAGAAGAACTAGAGCTAAGAATATGAGTTAGATTATATTTGGTGGCCTAAATAACTTGTTGTATAAGTTGCATTGGATTAAAAAAAGAACAAGAAAAAACTAACCCAAATAAAAGAGAGGTTTTTTTTTTAACCTAGACTATTTAGACTGTAAACCAAATGGGTCAACTCATATGAGTTAGAGTTAGTCCATTTAATCCAATTTTTTTTTAAAAAAAGGAAAAATTATGAGGGTAAGAATAGTCTAAATTTCTAGCACCAATTAATTAAAAATAAAAGGAAATATCTTTTTTTTTTTTGGGCTTGTGGCTAGTGGATCATAAATTATGATGGGTAATTATATTTTTGTTCTGATATGTTTCGATAATTATGTTATGTAGTGAATTTTAAATTGTAATATTGACACGTATTATTTAAGTACGAGTTTTTTTACAAAATTTTTAACAAATAAAAAAAAGTTAAATAAACTAGTGAGTTGGCTCATTTCCCTTATCAATGGCAAGTTGTCTCAACAACAACATCACCTTCTTGTAGGCATGAGATCTAAGGTTCATAGCTTCCTTTAGCACATGAGTGTGTGAGTTATGTGTTTAAATTAATCATTCAAAAAAAAAAAAATTGGTCCATTTGACCTATTAAATCACACGGTTTAGGTTGAGCTGAGATTTTCTTAACCCATATAAAAACTTGTTGAACCAAATCTAACTCTTTTTTTTTTTCCTAATTCATATGAGCTAACTCATATTATTTTGGTTAGCCAATATTTTCACCTTTAGGAGAGAGCAGTATGCAAAACATTTGTCCGCAACAGCATGGTAACACGACGAGAAAATTATGTACATGAAATGGATAAAGACCCACGCATTAGCATGAATCTATCCATCTCATTGTAACATTATGCTGTTGCAACAAACCAAAGCACATAATAATATCTCATTTGAGTTTCTCATCAATTTTCATTTGTGTTTCTCATCAATTTTGGCAAATCGTTTAATTCCTAATCCATTTGACTTTGTGGTAGAGATTTCAATTTTTTTTTAATCATGGCCCACATTAGTGGAAAAGGAAATGTGAATAGAATAGACATAGATATTCGGAAGTTAATTTTGATAGGCATATACAACAACAATAACAAAAATACTAGTGTCAGTTATATAAATCACATGACATTATTGTGCAAATTTGACATGCAAATAAATTATATAAAAGCTTTTTTACCAACCATTGTTTGATAAAATAAAACCAAAAAAGTGAGGGGAAAAAGGGTTTGACATGGTTTAAAGCAAAAGGGCCTTACTGCCCCACTTTGTCAAATCATAGAATAATGTGGCGAGATATTTTAAACTTTTTCATAGGAAGTCAATGATACACATCATTTTCCTTACTTTAACCACGGATAAATTATGCATTGGAAATTGTGCTAAAATTCCACATTGTCACCTCTCAAATGTTAAAATCCCTAATCTTTTCATGACGTATTGTAACTATCCACATTTTCAGGATTCATGTAATTGATAAGTACATATTCAAATTTTAACAAGTCAATATAAAGATATTGCAAGTTGTCAAAAAAATTATCAAGCAATTTTAAACATTGACAAATTATTGTTTAGGTTTTAACAATATTCAGTTGTTATATCTTTTAAAATATTTTATACTTTCTTCATCCATAATTATAAAACACTTTTGAGAAATATTTTATATCCCAAACTATAAAATATTCTAATAAAATTAAAGTTTTATTAATAATATTTTAACAATATTACTCTTCTCATTATATTATGCTCTTTAATATTTTTTTTTAGGAATGAAATGTTAAATAAAAGATATTTCTGAAAGTTTATATTTTTGTTATACAAAATAATAAAACTATAAAACATATTTAATAAGCTTTATTGATATATATAATTTTATCTAAAAACTTTTAATAATTCAAAATGAAAAGAATATAAATTATCCTTGATGTAGAAATACTTGTCATCTCTAGTGTCAACTAGTAATACATTCTTTTTTTTTTTGGTAAATCAAATTATAGATATTTTATAAATTTACAAACATATATCCTACATTAACAACATTTCTATTTGTATACATAACACAAAATCTAGTTATTATCAAGAGAGACTACCAACATTCAAAAGGGCATCGATGAAAATTTATAGATATATTTTTATTTTTTTATTTTTGCCTCAAAATATAATTTCACTTGAGCGTGCTAAGAAATTTCATATTCTATTGGACCTTCTCTACAATTTTCTTCGTTCCAAGGACCATAGATGCCATTCTCATGTAAAAAGAACATATGAAACAATTTTTTCCCTTTTTTATTCAAGAGGAGACTTTACATTTTCCTTTTAACTTACTGTCATCCAGTTTAACAAATGAACTTCAAATCATGTTACCATCCATAGTATTTTAAATAGAATCAGGCAATTGTTTCTAGAACTTATTTCCTGAATGAGGAAGTTTCTGTCTTTCCCCATATAAATCATACATTATATACATTACGAATAGTTCATGATTAAAAAAAAAAATTCAAAAAAACTATTTCACCTTGGTTTATGGAGAACTCTATAATTGTCAAGGAGCAAATTGTTCGTACCCCTGCAGTAACTTTTTTAGGTTAGATATATTTGAATATAGTATCAATTTGGCCTATGTTGAAAGCACAGACATTCTAGCTTACCTTTGAGGAAGTTTATATAGCTAGGAAGTACTCAATCCAAGGAATCATCATCAGCTTTTAGGTCAGAAAATGATCAATCATATGACGTATGACATCTGCACCTTCTAGATGCCAGGTTTGGTCCTTGACCTGTAAAATTCAAAGTTAATAAACATGGCCGAAAAATGAGAAAAGGGGACAGGCAGATCAAACATGCACCCCAAGACATCATATATACGATGATCAAGAAGAGTGTTGTATTTAATACTCCCTTTCATCTTTTCTTTTCTTTTTTTTAGGTCACTTCTAATTAATTCACCAAGACCAAAATGAGTGAGTTAGAATAACTAAATTGTATATAAAATAAATCGTTTTCCAATTTTGTCCCTAAATTTAAAAAAGAGTGATTTGATATATAGAAAGAGTTTTCTTTAGAATTGAAATATTGCAAATTTTTTAGAATTTATTAAAGGGTACTTTCAGAATTGTACATCAAAGGTTACAAAAAACAAAGAAAGTGACTTACATAAATGACCACACGAAAACTTTTTAGAATGTGATTAACAAATAGGACAAGAGGGAGTAGCTCATATGAATAGCAATGATAGTACAATTTAGAGACCAACAATCAGGTCCGAGAGTATCATTTAAACGTAATGTCGGAAAATTAGTGAGTGCACAAATTCTGTAAATAACAAACTTATTGCATATTTAGTGTTTTTTTTTTTTTTTGTTGGGTTCATGTCAAGCAATCAGGATGTCAGAAGAATTAATTTATAGCAAGTTTGTTACTTTTCAAGAACCATTGGTGTTAACATTGATTTCAAGGTCTAAAGCAAATTAGGCGTACTAATTTAAATAAAAAATTGCTAGTTTACTCGATCACTCATCATGGGTTAAAGGTTACATAAAAGTGCAGACATAAGAGGAGAGAAAAGCCATGTGATGCGAGACAGACCTGAATGATACTATGAGCAGCAAATCTCTGTCTACTACGGTGAAAACTAACATCTATTTTTTCCCATGACAGACGAGATAAGCCTGTTACCAGCTCCTCTGCAAGAAACATTCCAGTTAGAAATCAGACAATCTGCAGATAGGAGGAGAGAAGTAAAGAAAGAGCTCATGCATATCTCCTTTTATAAATTCAAGAAACAGTTGAATCTTATTGAGGAAGGATTAATTATATGAAAGTTGCTGACTTCTGCTCATGAAAAATAGCTGATACCAGTAAAAAAAACCCCAACAAAAATTGGGAGTATTTGTAGATTTGGCAGTCATCCATTTTCCAATGGTGGAGCCCTAACCTCGGAAGATCACTAGTTTGATTTTAAAAGTTCACTATCATCATTTTGAAAATACAGGTTTAGAGTGAGTCATTCCACACTGGCCGTTATCGAAAGTCAAAACAGCAAAGGTAAGGTCTATAAATACATGTTTGGCTATGCTTTGAATTTTTTTTTTATATCTTATTTAGTTGGTTTAATTTGTTCTCTTAAAATGAGTTTCTCAAAAAGCAATATGACAGTTTATAAGATTTAAGGTCCAAATGAAGATGGACAAAGAAAATAAGAACATTAAGTTAAAGAGTAATATCCTTGTATGCAAGCTAGAAGTAACTGATTGGAAAAGGCTATCATGACTCATTTAAGAATTCATATAAGCAAGAAAAGGCCAAGCACATAACACATGGAAAAGGCAACTATTGCAGGATCAAGATAACAGCACTCAAGATTAAAGGGGGAACAGAAAGCACAAACCTTCAATCTTATCAGAGCTGTCATTTAATAAATCACACTGCTCAGCTTCACACGCCTTGCAATGCTCTTCATATACAACATGAGGATATTTTTCATTTACCATATTCTCCCACTGTCAAGCAAAATATACATTAAACTAAAACCCAAATGAAGGTCAACTAAATAATTCAAGAGCTTACAAAGCACGCAAATAACCATATACCTTTGGAAGTTCATTATTTCTTCTGATGGATGATGTCCTCCAGCCAACAATATCTTGAATGTTAAATATAAAGGACCGCAAATAAATACATGCAATTTAGACTGACATATGTCCTAACAATAAGCAGAAAGTAGTATATACTAAGGATACGATCATAGCCCACATTTGAATATACAGTCCGGCATTTGAAAGTATGCAATGCAGACCTGCATAAAGCAAGGGTCTTTGAGAAACAATAGGACTGAGAAACAAATCTTCTTTGAGGACAACGATATGAGACATGCGACAATCATACATGAAATGAAGTTCTTCAGAATCTTCTAGCATGCGCTTGAGCAATGGTGGCTTTCCTTCATCATCATCAGTAAGGAAAAGATGACGACCAGTTCTCCTAAAAATAAAATGAATAACACAGCTTGCAAGTTTCTCAATTGCAGGTACACCAAAAAGAAATGGTACCTGAATGTCAAGACCCAGTCAACATGTTCAAAAATAGAAGACATTAATTTAACTAGTTCATGTGTACAATACCCTCAACAAAAAACGAATTTAAATTGATCCCAAATTGATTTGGAGATACATCCACACAGATAGGTGACCTACGAGTCAGATGAAGATGCAAATTTTGACGCAAATCAATTATATGCAGAAGCTAGAAGAATTTCTTTATACATCAAAGAAATAAAAAGAGTCCAGTTATCATAATGAGGTTAGACTTCCCAAGTTTCACATGAAATCATTCACTGAATAACACAAGGGAACTTTTGGCCCACAATCGAAGGCCTGGTTGCAGGATATTGCACAACGCAATCCTTGATCACATGTTTGGTGCACATAGAATATTATATAAGCTTATAGAGTCAATTCCAATCAACACCCCTTAATACTGTGATCACTATATCATCTATCCGGGCCCCCTTTGCCTTGACCAAACCTGATTGCATGAAGAATGTGATAAAAACATCAATAAATTATCACAATAACCCTGTGCCTCCTTTTACTCTGACACAATGTCTTAGCCCATAGCTTTATTGTCATAAATTTATTAACTATCACATGTAAATACATATTTTTCAATATCACTAAATTTTGACAACATGGATCAAATTTAAAGATCAGATGCCGATACCTGCTTATGGCCCCTTGATCCTAGGTGAGGTGTAGCAACAGTAATGAAATTCATTGCCTCTAAGCCACATATCGTACCACTTGAGTTCTCTTTACTTTCTCTAGTGCATGAGTCATGCACACATTCTCTTTCCGATGACCTATACAGTCTCCCAATTGCATACCGTGCCACCAGTCCTCCCACAGAGTGTGCAACAATGGAGATCTTACGCATGTTTGGCTTTCTTTGAATAACATCGATAACCTAAAATTGGATTGAGTTAACAACAAAAGGATTATGTATTGAACGCCATTGTGTATAAAGATAGAAAAGGTTTTAGATATTATAATTATCCGGGCAATAAAAAGATGCTGTCAAAGTTAAAATGTTACATATTAAATGAAAAATGTTTATTTTAGCATATATTAGAAGTTCATAACTTATCATCTTTCTTGCCAGGTTCATTATCTTATAGACAAAACCTTGGGAGCACTTCCCAAATAGGCAGATCCACTTGGGTTTTCTGCCCCATGAGTTGGAACCTTACATCACTTTAAAAATAGAGAAACGGCAAGGCTTCTGTTTTTCCAAACATACTCACACGAAAATTTCATGCTGGTTACATATAAATAAAAATTAAAGAATAAAAATTAAAGAGGCCATGTACATTAGTGGCAGAGATCATGTGAAGCGAGACATAATGGTGAGAAAATTTATTCACTAGCTTAATGTAGCTAGATACTTAGCTTCAACAAAAGTGATGAATATATCATGTTTAATTTATATTTCTTTCAATCTTAATAACTCTAAGCTATCCTTTATCTTTATTCAACATTTTTATGGTGTATATAGTAGATAAGGTTAGAAAAATAAGAATAGAAAATGCCTCATTAGCAATTATGGAGTCATTTTGATTTCATGTTTCATGCAGGAAAATTCAACAAAGTCTTGTATCTATACAGACACTGACCTCCTCTGCCAATCGCTCCCCCATTACATCCACACCATCTAGTGTCAACCTAGACACATTTCGTTCGCTACCTGCATGAAAGAAAATTGGGGAGGGGGATTATAAACCAACATAAGCTGTAAAGAAATTTGTTAAAGCCCTCTCAGTTTTATTGATGAATTTCTCAAGATGTCAATGAAACAGCCAATAGTACCACAAATATTGAAGGCTGTTAAATATCAACTTTCTTCAGGACTAGTTTGCATATATGTGAGACATAAAAAGAAAGTTGTTGTGCAACTTTTTAAGAATTTAAGTTGCAGCAGTTACTAAAGGTGAGAATAGGGAAAGATGGCAGGAAAAAGGGCCCATCAAGTGTGAAGAGTTTAGAGACTTCACATCGAAAGTTAACAAAGTCAACAGGAATAATTTGAATGATGTTAAACAAAGAAAAATTCCATGTTAGAGAGCTTTGCTAAGATTAGAAACAAATTTAAAATAGAAAAGCATCAGAGAAAAAGTCAAACATAGTGAGTAAAGAATTGGGCAAAAACATTTGAAAATTCAATGGATCAAATCATAGCTGGAAGACCTTATTAATCAAAAAGTTTGATCAGAGGGCAAAAAATGAACAAATATGAAAAAAAAACCCCTAAGAGGCAGAGCCTTCAGGTAAGTCTAACTCAAACCTAGCTATTCAATCATGTTATGTCAGATGATAAGGCTTTGAATAGCCCCTACTGACTATGAAAAGCAAATGGACTTGCTCAAAGTCCAATCCTACCAATTGCCAACCATATTATTGGATTGGATAAAAGAATCCTCACTGAAACAATTGAAATTTAGCCCAATTTAGCAGATAAGTTACAAAAAGGATGGATTTGATCTCTAAATAAAACATAATAGAAGGCATTCAGAATCAAAGAAATATTTTGATGTAGCTTTTATTGGAAAAGAACCACTTTCAGACTTGTCATAGTATTTTCAAATCAAAGAAGGATGGTTATTTTTTCTTCAATTAAAATCTCTCATATTAGTCTAGAAACTGGCATCCCAATTGTGATTCAGGACATGATTAGTAGCTGATCATTTATTTTCATTCAAATCACAAAAATACTAAGGCCCCGTTTGGTTACTATAAATGAATGGAATGGAATAGATTGAAAAAATAAAGGTAAAAATGATATGATCAAAAGAGATGGTGAACCACATTCATAAGGAAGTGAGATAATTTAGTTTATGAGTTGGGAATCATGATTCATGAAATTTTTGGAGGGTATAATGATTTTCGCATTTGTAGTATATATTAATAAGTTTTATCATACTTATCATGAGGGGAAAGGGTGATTTAATTCATTTTTATATTAATTTTTTCACTCCATTCCATTTCTTTCTAATAACCAAATGGGACCTAAGACTAAAATGCAAGGATTACATTCAAACTATACAATTCCCAGGATCAGATGTTGCTATAGAGCTCTAGTAGCTGTTAAGTAATCATAAACTTGTAACATGACCAAATGTAGACATGATATTGGTCAATTGTAACAACTTACTAAAAAGTAAAACAAGGACACATCATTCTTTAAATGATAACCAAAAAAAAAAAAATCTCTTACACCGTGTTGAATTGTAGGATCAAACAGGATTAGTAGTTAGTCAATAATCTGTTAGCTGGTTATGGATGGGAAGGTCACCTCAACAAATAAAGGAGGTACAAGTGTAAGGGGGTGATTGAGTTGAGTTCAAGTGTTCTACTTTTCTTTTTCACCATCTTATCACAAGCTCTTTCAAATGGAATTATCACCAGAGGTTTATATGAGAAGTTTGAGGAATGATCCTTACAGTGAACAAACACTTTATCAGGAAGCTCTTTAACAAATTGCTCTGCAGCAAACTTCCAATCCGTTGCGCTGCAGGAATAGTGAAAACCTGAATCAGCCACCTTATGTAAGCAAATTTTGAACTAGGGCAAGTGTGACTATTTAAGTTGCTAAGAAGAAGTAACCATATAACTGAGATTTCAAATTCAATCTTCTGTGCACCATCAACAAGAGACCTTTTACAGATGTTAAGCAACAAAGATACTTAACTTCTCTTGCACAAAAATAGAAAACACACAACCAAATGCTCTGATTATCAACAGAGAACTTTTATCTAAGTCCAGCGCTAAAATATACTCCTTTGACTTTACAAGCAATATCTGTTTTCCATAGCCAAGGTAAGCAGCAAACACAAATTGAGTAGAGGACAGAAAAGAAGTAGAAAAGAAGGCGAAAAGTTCAACAACTTGACAAACATTATAATTAAAAGGGGTCAAGATTTAATGCCCTTTCATCCCTCCTGCATAGTTTTGACCAAGACATTCCACACTGACCTAATTTGCCAAATTTACACCACTAGTTAAAAATTAAAAATTAAAATAATAATAATTATCACACAGGTCGACAGCTAAATTTAGAACTGTACACGAATAGACGATTATTAAATAGGAAGGCACAAGACAGCTCAGATATTTCAGTAGCTAAATCAGATCAAAGAGAAGAACAAATAGTTCTTTCTTCTTCTTTTTTCTCTTTTGCAAGATAACTAATTGAGAACTCAACAAACTGATCAAACAAGCATCAGAAGAAAAATCACCCACTAGGAATTTTACAAGACTCATTCCGATTGAATAAAAATCCAATATGCTACAAGGCCCTTAAACCCAGGTAACGATAAAATATCAGCATTCTCAAACCCAGATGAGGATGAAAGATATAACCTAACCTTCCCAGAATTCCATTGACCATGACAACGAGATGGTCGGCCGACGAAGAATCAGATACCTTGGAACTCCACACATCACGACTTCCGTCGACAGACTCTGAGGTACACACTCCGTTCTGTTGCACGCCCTTTTCCATGGATGATAATTACGCGTTTACAAGGCTCAACAAAAAACCGAATGCAATTGTAAATTAAAAAGAAAATATATAAACGAACGTCACAAAAGCATCAGTGCAGATCACGGGGAAAGAGAGAAAAAGTAACGATATTTTCCCAAGTAAACTGAAGAGAGAAGGAGAGAAAACGTTGGAAACGAAAAATGACGGAATGAGACTGAGTAGGTGAGACCATGAGAGAGAAGGGGAGAGATGAAAGGCAACATAAAAGAAGAGAGTGGAAGAATAAAAGGGACATGAGAGCACGAAGCTAAATGCTTACGATTTTGGGATTAATGGCATGACAATAACATTAACTGTAATCGGTAACTTTCAGAGACAGGAACACCAAAACAAACTTTCAAAAGACGGCTTTCTGGTAGACAAAGGCTGCCCAAGCCAAACGGGCAGGTTACCAAAACATAATTATTGGCAAATAATAATAATAATAATAATAATAATAATAAAAGAGAAAATTACATTCAAAAAATATAAAAAAATTATTCATATATAAGGATTAATAATAAGTTATCAATAAAAAAAATAAATTCTTATTTTTATGTTAATAATAATTTATTTCATATTAATACTTATTTATAAATAAAATTTTTCACATGTCCTTAAATGCGATTTTTCCAAACAAAAACGTATCAAAAAACTTTTAATCTAATTATGTTTTTCTTTTTCGTGTTGCTGAAAAAAAGTTTCGATGAACTGTGCAATTCCGGCCAATACACTTCATCAAGAGTACTTATAGATATAACTACAAATTTTTCATCAGCAAAATAATTTAAAATATCTATATTTCGTAGCATACCACACAACAATCCTGCACAGACAAGATTTTTGGTGTGATCCTCTTTTAACCACATGGGATTTGATCCTTTAACTTCTTGTATCAAGATTTTTTAACCTCTAATTATTTATTTAAGTTAGGTTAAGGTTGTCACTGGATAAAAAAAGATCATGAGATATGTTTAATTATAGGTTGATCATAGTGGAATCAAATCCTCTATGTGCGTGCGTGTGTTAGACAATTATATAAAAAATGTTTCTTTTTTTACATATTTAATTGTTACAAAATTGAAAAATAATTGTCACAAAAATATTTTCTTAAATTACAAGAAAAAATTATGTATATGTTAATTTATAATTATTTAGTACAACTATAGGTACGTTTTATTTTCTTAAATTACAAATTACATTGTCCTCAGTTTATTAATTAATGGTGACGTGAACAGTATAATTTGCAATAAATTTATATAAATATGTAAATCGGCTTTGTATCTAATAATAACAAATTATATATATATATATATATATAATCTTTATACTTTTAAAATATAATAAAAATATTATTTTTTTACTTATATTATTTTTTGCGTTATATCAAGATAAATTAATTTTAAAATCTTTATCTACACTTATCTCATTGTTTGTTAATTTTACACACACAAAATGTTTACATAGAATTAAATTAATGTAAATATAATTATTTTAACTACATCGTTGTTTGCTAACGAGCGAAAAAACAAAACATTTATTTATACTTTTGTTAAAAAACACTTATTTAGATTTAGATGGTGTGTTTGTTATTTACTCCTCAAAACATGGAATGTTTGTTACAATGTCACTTCCGAACAAAAATGGCCTTGGATGGCTTGTTTGTCCTTTGCTGAAAAAAATATTTATTCAACTGTAATTTCAAAAAAAAAAACATTTATTCAACTTTCTTTCTTTCTTTTTTTACACAATAATATTTTTCATCTTTCTTTCTATCATGCAATTAAGAAAGGTTTATGCTGGCCGAAAAAAAAATTAAGAAAGTTTATTATATAAATTTGTTATAAAAAAAAAACAAATGCCATGCGTTTGCATGAAATTTTTCAAAATATAATTAAATTACATTGATATAGTAAAAAGTTTAAAGTTTAAGGCAAGTCATTTGGTTTATGAGTTGTATATACAACTATACATTACAATTTCTTATGAGTTAATTAATAGATACATTAAATGAATTTCGTTTCTTCAACGCTAGTCATTTACTCAACAAAATTGGTTACATAAAATTAAATTCGTTTATCTAGAATAATCTTTAACTATATCATTATCATCACAAGAAGACAAATAAAAAAATGATATGGCATGTGTTGTTACAATACTTCGCTCTTGGATGGCATATTTGTCCTTTGCTAGCGGAAAAACACAATGTTTGATCCCTGCAACTTTTATCATGTTTTTTTTTTTTTTTATAAAAAAACTCTCATTAAGTTACATTGCCTACTCACCATACATTTACATATGTTCAGTATCCTCTTCTTGAAGCTTTTTCGCTCATTCACTATAATTTTAATGACAATCTCTCTTCGTAAAGTAATCACAAAGATAAGTGATTTTATTATGAAAGACTTGATAATTACTTTTAATTACATTTATAAAAAAATTAATAATTACACAAATTAGCTTACATGACAAGTTTTTAGTGATAGTTTTAACATTAAGATTCTAGACGAACCATCCTAAAAGTATAAGATGACTTTTTGAAATCTGACATGAGTTAATGATTGTCTTTTGCACCATTTTGGCCATGGCCTTTCTTATTCCACAAAAAAGAAAAAAAAAACATAACATTGTTCAATATCATATTTAATGGTGTTAGTCACAGCCAATTAAACATTGTTAGAGATTAGAGAACTAATGTTTTAGATGACAAAAATTATAAGGACTAGGAATAATGAAAAAAAATTATAAAAATTAAAAGTAAAATGAAATAAAATTATATAGACTAATCATTGTGTTTCCCCTTTGTTAATTTATTTACCCGCCGTTCTTTCTTTCTATCGTGACATTGGGGAGAGGTATTCCATAATTTTTCCGTTTTACTCTAAAAAAAAAGTGAGAGTAATGATATCCATTTCCAAAAAGCTAAGTAATGAGAGTGGAATAAAAACCCTAAGAATAATTTATATATAATATAACTTCTTATAAATTTTATAAATATATCAAGGAAGAATCACATCTAAAGATTTGATAAGAAATTTATCACAAACAAAAATTAATATGAAATGAATTGTTGTTAAAATAAAAATATAGACATATTTTTTTTCAAATAAAAATTTTTATTAGTATTTATCTGTGAATAAATTTATTGCCAAGTCATTGAATGTGATTCTCTCATATATCAATATATTGACAATAATTGTAATATTAAAAATTGATCAAAAATATTCTTATAAAATAAAAGATAAAAGAAATTAGAGGGAAATTTGGAAAAAAAAATATTAAGTTAAAAACATTAATAATAAATTAGATTAACCAAAATATCTGTTTAAATTTACTCTTTCTATTCAATATTATAACATAATGTATTTTTAACTTATTACACATTTCAACAAGTTGATTAATTATCTTTTAAAATATTTTTTTAAATATTTACCTCTATTTAATAAGGTATTTTAATTGTAAAACCTCATTAATTATACTTCTTAATTAAAAATATTTTTCAAAAAATATCATTAACTGTACCTTAAAAGATCATCTTATATTTTTTAAAGAAGAGAATATATTAAAAGATAAACTAAAGACAATATATATAAGTTATCTTAAACAGCGCGCACACACACACTAAGTAATGACAAAAGTAGAAAAGTGATATATAGAAAATCTTATCAAATATTACAAAATAAATGTGTACCAATAAATTTCTAAAAAAATAATTATAATTAGGTAACTTTGAGTTTAAATTTTATAAACTTGTTTTATATATAAAACTCTTATCTCTTTCTTTTCTATTCTCTCACCATGGCTAGTCGCCACACTCTGATTCATTCTTTTTAAGTATTTTTTTAGGGTAAAGGGGCAAAAATACCCACAAAGTAATCAGCGACGGGCACCCAATATCCTAAAGTGATGAAAAGGGTAAAAATACCTATAACATTATATGGATGGATGTAAAAGTAACTAGACCGTTAACTTTGACCGTTAAATGCTAACTGTACATGTCACATGTCAATCTTTACTGATGTGGACTAACAAAGGGGTAAAATACCCACGAAGTCACCGGCTAAGAGCAAAAATACCCATAACATTACTAAAATTAGTGCAAAAGTAACCAATACATTCAATCCCTTAAATGTTGACCGTTTAGTTGACACCTAAGCAAAAGTTGACTTTTTCTTTCACTGATGTAGGCAAAAAATATTCTTAGATGAAATTCTCTGAAAGTTAATCAGTTATTATATGAATATCATGTAAGAAAATGTCATTTTAACTAAATATCAAATTAAATTGCTTGTTTTTTTTGCAACAGTAGTAAAAATCATTTGAAAATTTTGAATCCATTGTGAATGCAATTGCTTAAGGTTGTGACAATATTTTTAAGTTAGATGTGCTCAGTTTTGATCTTTGATTTTGAACTACCTATCTTACTATGTTAAATCTCAAGTTTTATAGATAAGAAAAATGAGTGGATAGGGAGAAAGAAAGGGGGCAAGATACGTGGGGATGGAAAGAAACCATATGGCATTGATTTTAACAGATTGGTCACTATTGCACCTATTAAAATAACATTATAGGTACTTATATAATAATCGATCAACATCCGTAAAAAATTTATTTTAGAATATTTTTTGTTTACATCAACAAAAAATAGTCAATTTCTACTTAGGTGTCAACTAAACAGTCAACATTTAAGGTATTGAATGTATTAATCACTTTTGCACCAATTCTGATAACGTTATGGGTATTTTTGCTCCTGACTGATGACTTCATGGATATTTTTGACCCTTTTTTAGTTCACGTCAGCAAAGACTGACACGTGACATGCATAGTCAACATTTAACGTTCAAAGTTAATGGTGTTAAGTCAAAGTTAATGGTCTAGTTACTCTTGCACCATCCATATAACATTATGGGTATTTTTTTCTTTTTCGTTACTTTAAGATACTGGGTGCCTGTCGTTGACTACTTTGTAGATATTTTTACTCCTTTACCCTTTTTTTTATTCAAGGTTTCAAACTTTGGTATACAGGAAAAGTAAGTGCACGCAATGGAGTAGGCATCATTATAGATAAGGAGTGGAAGAAGAACGTTGTAGAAGTTAGCAGAATTGGAGACAGAATTATTTCTTTAAAAATGATAATTGGACGTGAGACTGTTAATATTGTTAGCGCTTATGCGCCGCAAGTCGGGACAGAAGCCAGTCTTAAGGAATTATTTTGGGAGGATCTGGAGGGGTTGATTCGACACATACCACAGAGTGAAA